AACTGGAAATCATGGCCTTCATGATTTTGGAGAAAGAAGTTGTACGAATAATCAAATTGAACCAAGAAACGAGGAAGAAGAGGAAGAAGCAGAGGATCATGATACTACAGAAGAAGATGAAGCGGAGGAGATAAGTAGTTCACCAATTCTAAGAAGATCACAGAGAGAAAGGAGAATGCCAACTTATCTTAACGATTACTCTTTGCTACTTGAAAGGGAGTTATCGTTACTTGCTCTTAATGATGAGCCAAGAAGTTTTCAAGAAGCTAAAGACTCTAAGGAATGGTTACATGCTTGTCAAGAAGAGATTAACTCCATAGAGAGGTTTAAGGTGTGGAATCTGGTTGACATGCCAATAGGAGTCAAGCCAATCAGACTGAAATGGGTTTTTAAGATAAAAAGAAACTCGGATGGAAGTATCAATAAACACAAGGCTCGATTGGTCGCAAAGGGGTATGTTCAACAGTTTGGAGTTGATTTCGACGAAGTATTTGCTCCAGTAGCAAGAGTAGAGACGATCAGATTTCTTATCAAGCTTGCAGCCGCACATGGATGGCAGATACATCACCTCGACGTAAAGACGGCCTTTCTTCATGGAGAGCTTAAAGAAAATGTGTATGTTTATCAACCAGATGGTTTTGAGATCAAGGGGAGTGAAGAGAAGGTGTACAAACTAAACAAAGCATTATATGGTTTAAGACAAGCACCGAGGGCATGGAACAACAAGCTTAATAAACTTCTTGTAGAGCTGAAATTTACCAAGTGCAGCAAGGAACCTACCGTATATCGAAAACAAGTTTGTGAGGATCTCTTGATCGTGGCTGTTTATGTTGATGATCTCTTGGTCACAGGTACAAGCTTGGAAGTGATAAGTCAGTTCAAAACAGAGATGTCTTCTAGCTTTGAGATGAGTGACCTCGGAGTATTGTCATACTACTTAGGAATCGAAGTAATACAAAACAATGAGGGAATTACTTTGAGTCAAACCCGATATGCACACAAGATCTTGGAAGAAGCTGGTATGAAAGACTGTAATCTTGTGCATACTCCGATGGAAGTAGGTTTAAAATTGTCCAAGTCACAACACGAGAGAGAAGTTGATGCAACGACTTATCGGAAACTCGTCGGATGCTTTAGATATCTGTTGCACACAAGACCAGACCTATCATATGCTGTGGGAGTCTTAAGTAGATATATGCAAAGTCCTAGGGAGTCACATTCAGCAGCAATGAAGCATTGTCTTAGGTATCTCAAAGGAACAACATCGCTTGGTTTAGTTTACAAAAGATGCACAAGCATACCCAATCTCGTTGGCTATAGTGACAGTAGTCATAATGTTGATCCGGATGATGGTAAAAGCACGGCTGGTCATGTGTTCTACTTTGGAGATAGTCCAATATCATGGTGTTCACAAAAGCAAGAGACTGTTGCATTATCTTCATGTGAAGCGGAGTTTATGGGAGGAACCGAGGCAGCCAAGCAAGCCATTTGGCTAGGAGATCTTCTAAGTGAAATCACAGGAAACTTGAGTGAGAAGGTAACCATACGGATAGACAACCGATCCGCCATTGCTATCACTAAAAATCCGGTGTTTCATGGGCGTAGTAAGCACATCTATAGGCGTTATCACTTCATAAGGGAGTGTATTGAAAATGGCCAAATTGATGTTGAACATGTTCCGGGGAGTGAGCAAAAGGCGGACATTTTAACTAAGGCACTTGGAAGAATCAAGTTCAAGGAAATGAGAGAGCTCATTGGAGTTCAAGACTTGAAGAGTGATGAGATCAAGCTTAAAGGGGAGAATGTTGACTTAAGCTTGAAGTAAGCTTGGAGTGCAAGCATAAGAAGATTAGGATTAGGTTTTATATATTTAGGAGTTTATCTAAATATATGTTTTGGTGTTATCTCCTAATTAGAATAGGAGTTATAGACTAATTCTTTTCTTATATAAGGAGATGTCAAGGTGTGACATAACTTGTGAGAATTGAGATTGAGAGATTGAGAGCTTTAGATTTTGAGAGATTTTCCTAAAGTAATAAAAGAGAGTGATTCTTTTATATTTGATCTTGATCTTTTAATCTTTGATTCTAGACCCAACATATCATCGCACTGGATTGTGGAGATATTGAGATTGCTAGTAACGATAGTAACACTCGACCATTTTGTTCTCGATGCTCTCGACGTTGCATAGAACCTGTGGTGTATAGGAGGGAAAATGAATATTTTTGTACTTTGATTTGTACGATGTAGTGAAGCAAGAAACACTTACATGAGATCATGTAACTTGTATGAGAGAGATCAAGCTTGTACCAAGGAAAATATTTGTTTGAATATTTAATTTCTAAATTAAATGTGTAATATTTTGTGAGATCATGTTTGAGTATTTGATCCAAAACTTTTCTGGAATCTTAGGCAACAACATCTTCCTTGCCACCTATTTCTTTTGGTTGATATGGAAGAACATATATGGTTCCATGGTTTGATTATGTTTATTTATCATGTTTATTTATTTTCACAACAAATAGATAAATATGTGAATTTTATATTGTATTGCAGTCTAGATCATGAAATTAAATTTTTTCAAAAGCTAAACTGACCAAATTGATCAACATAAGTTGGGGAGACATCATGAGGTCAACATATTTAGAACAAAAAATCAGTAAATCCAAATTTTGTTTTGTACAATTGATAATACGATTCGATGATTTTCAATGATTTTTGCTCATATTTTTTTTTTTATGTTTTGCCTTTTGTTTTCTAGTTTTATGCTTCTTTTTATCTTTTAAAAAAATTTCTCAATCATCCTCAATTTATAACTCGATTTTTTATTATTTTTAGTTTGTAAATTATGCTTATGTGTCGTGTTCATAAATCATAATATTTTCACGAAATAATTGACAGTGCAACTTTACTTTTTCATAACCAAAAAAAAGGAGAAAAAATAAAATAATGGATATAATCCCTTTTTTTTTGTGGGAATAATGGATTAAATCCTTAACAACAAAGTAAAAGAGTAAAATGGTTTATTTTATTTTTAAGGAATAATGGATTAAATCCTTATTTTTATTCAAAGCAAATAGGCCTAAATTGGGCCTGGAAACATCTAAAACCGCGTTTCGTTTAAAGGAATTTATCTTTTCCACATAAATCCAAATAAAGAAAACTTAAAATTGACAACGAGAGGAAGAATCCAACTTGGACGCTGGCTTCATCTCCAAGTCAGCCTTAACCTCTCTCTATATAAATTATACATAATCAAGAACACAAGAAATCGAAGAACAAAAACAAAAACAAGAACTCATCAAGAACATACCAAGAAGTTAGACAAGAGAAGCTAATAGCTATGGCAGGAGGAGGAACAGAAGCGTTTCCTGATCTTGGAGAACATTGCCAAAACCCTGATTGCAAATTACTCGATTTCCTCCCTTTTACTTGCGACGGCTGCAAACTGGTAAGCATCTTCTTCAGAATCTATCAATCTTTTCTTCCATTGAACCGTTTCTTGATTCAGAATCTTTGTGTGTGTGTAGGTGTTTTGTCTAGACCATAGATCATACAAGTCTCATAACTGTCCTAAATCCGACCACGGGAGCAGAACGGTTTCAATATGTCAAACATGTTCTATAGCGATTGAAACAACAGGTTTTGACGAAGAAGGAATCAAATCATTGCTTGAGAAACACGAAAAGTCAGGAGATTGTGATCCGAACAAGAAAAAGAAACAAACGTGTCCTGTCAAACGTTGTAGAGAGGTTTTGACTTTCGCGAACAACCTTACTTGCAAAGATTGTGGAGTCAAGTTCTGTTTGAAACATAGGTTTCCGACAGATCATGTTTGTAACAAGAAGACCGTTACTAATTCAGGAACAAGCTCGAGGTGGAACGAGAAGTTTATGGAAGCTTTGAGTTTGAGAAACGAGAAAAGTTGTGGAAGAGGAAGCTCTGTTAATTCATCAAGATCTTCGCCATCAGTTAGATCCTTTTAGTTTTTTTTTATTCTCTTGTTATAATTTGCATCAACCAAATCATTCTATACTTTCTCATGTATTAACACAATTATTGATATGACATTTGTGTTTCAGAGAGTCAAATTTTTTATTTTTTTTGTTCAACCAGAGAGTCATATACAGTACAATGATTTTTCAATAAAGGATAAAAAGTGATAAATTCCTTAAAACGTGCACTATAACATACAGTATTGTATTCTTTTGTTTTTTGTTTTTTGTTTTCTTGGTCACCAACATAATGTATTCATATGGCACAATGTAGGAACTGGGCCAAACAATATGAGGCCATTTTGGACGAAAACGTTCTTGATAAGAGTTTTAACTGGGCCAAAAAATTAATACAAAACTAGTGTAATTAGATTTAAACCTTAGTCATGTTTAACGGTGACATCTTAAATTTGTTTTTTAAACATCTAAAAGTGTGTCTTATTTAAGACACAAATCTTAATTACTATACCAACATTTTCATTAAACTTGAGTGTTATGTTCTCAGATTAACTTTTAAAACACCCTCTAAATCACAATTGTACATGTTCTTAGGACGAATGGAAGTGTTTAATGAGTTTTTTAGATAGTTTCTTATTATTAAAAGTAATTAAGAAAATAAAACAACAAAAAACTCTAAACAATCGATCCTAATTATAAGGATTTTTAGAAAAGTTAGGAACCTCTTACGTGTCAGCATTTCATTGGTTAATAACTAGAAGACGAGAAATAAAAAAACAAATCTTCCTTATGGAATTCTTAACCATTTAAGGTAAAAAAAAGTTTAAGAACTCTTATATTGAGATAAACAAAATTTATATTACAAAATTTGTTAGAACCATTGGAGATGGTGTTAGAAGACTCAAACTCTTGCTCTCTTGCAAAATCTTTACTTAAATTATCAGTTTTCACACTGAGTTTTTATAATTACGTATGCTTAATGATTGAGTTTAGTTTAGGTATTCGACTTTTTACGTCCCGCACGAAAACATAAACGATTAAATAGTCATTGGTAGTTGTGTCCATTTCTTGGTGTTTGGTAGCAAAAGGTATTGTCTCTAGCTAGTGTGTGCTGTATCCATTGTAGGGCTTCAAATGTTTACGGTCCTCCTCGTTATTTCGTCTTCTTGCTAAATTAGGTACTACTCCTATAGTTTATTAAAACACGTGTTGAGCTCTCTGACATCATCATCATCCATTTCTGTTGTCGATAGCCTTGTCTCCTCTGGTAAGCTCTCTGACAGGAGAGAGTTATGGAGAGTTAGTCAACCGTCTACTTATTGTCTCAAAATCGAATCGTTCAGAAAACTCGCCACTTCTCCAAACGCCGAAAAGTACGAATCCCGTCCTTTTCCATCCGGTGGATACAACTGGTACATACTCTTTTATGTTACTGTTTCGCGCATTTACTTGCATCGCAAGTTACAAATTAAAGAATTATTTGATGGTTAAGAGTATATATGTTCATTTGCAAACAGGACACTTCTTGTTTATCCTAAAGGAAACGTTAAGGATGGTGCTCCATCTGATTGGGTTTCAATGTACGTCCAAATAGACAATTCAACAATCATTAACACTCCTAAAGAAGTTTACGCAGAAGTCAAATTCTTCATTTATAACCGGAAAGAGGACAAGTTTTTCACATATCAAGGTACAATTGCTTATCCTCCACCCGTTTTTGTTTATATGATTTTCTAGGATTTTTTTTTTTGTCAACATCATAGTAGGAGGTCAGCTCAAACGAGCCAACTTGACGGAACATTATTTACAAACTTAACAATATGCGAACTGACACGAGCTTTAAGATTTTTCTAGGATTGTGCATACAAATTAAGAAATTATCTAAGTTTTGTGTGATTTAAGATAAAAAAAACATCATATAATATCTACTTAAACACAATTCAACCAATAAGAAATTAATCTGCATAATATAACTTGTTAAATAATAAAAGCTAATTAATTTTGCCTAAAAATTATCCAAAAAACATGTCCAAAAAATATCTAGATTGACCAAAAAAAAGAAAAATTTATCTAGAAAAGAAATGAGGGAGTATTTAACGACAATTTTTTTTTTTCTTTTTACATAATTTCAAATCCCAAAACATGCATTTACAATACAAAATCTCATACTTATGTTCGGTCCACAGAGACGGATGCAAAGCGTTTTTTTCTGTTCAAACCATATTGGGGATACGGTAACGTTAGATCCTACGGCGATGTAGCCAACCCCGACGCTGGTTGGCTTTTCGACGGTGACAGTGTTTTATTCGGTGTCGACATATTTGTCACTGAAGTGTTTAACAAATGGGAAGTATTCTCCTTCACTAAGAGTTTACATAACCGCCTTATCGAATGGACAATACCTAACTTCTCCAAACTAGATCAACTATTCTACCTATCTGAGATTTTTGTGATCAGAGACAGAAGCTGGTGAGTTTCCTCATATGTCATAACTGGTTTAAGTAACATACTGATTGAATAATATTTTGGTATATGTAACTCTTAGGGCATTGAAAATGTATCCAAGAGGCGATGGAGAAGGACAAGGGAACTCATTGTCTTTATACGTTGTTGCGGTTGATGCTAAGCGGTATGAAAAGAAATACCTAAAAGCTAAGCTACGTATTGTAAACCAGAAAGGTTCTAATGATTTTGAGAAGAAAGGTAAAATAATAGTCTGACTAATGTTACTTACTCTGTTAATATTGTTCTTTAGGATTTAACAATTAATTATCGCTATCTTATCGACAGTCGAAAGCTGGTCAGATCGAGCAAACAGTTGGGGATTCCAGAAGTTCGTATTGTTTGCTGATCTTAAAGATACTTCTAAAGGCCTTCTTGTGGATGATACATTGAAGATAGAGGTTGAGTTTGATGATTTCTCTAACACTGAATACTTCCCAAGTTAAGTTTTGCCTTACGCAATCGATAAGCCGAACATAAGAGTCTCGAACAAGACAAGGGAACCATACCGAAGATAATTGGATTAGCCAACCATAGCTTTGCGTTTTACTTTCAAGTGTTTCTGTGTGTAATAATTGGAGAGGGTTGTTCTTTCTAAGGTTGGGAGCTTATCTACCACTTCTCATGCTCTTTGTGTACTTGATCCTATCTAAATAAATGAAAACCATGAATAAAGGCATTCTCATATACCTACCACTGAAAATTTCTAATATCTTACTTCATTCAAGTTGCGACTAAGATCCAATATTGACTGTAAAAACAGAATCTTTAAAAACAACTTCAAAATAAGTTTGCCTATGATAGTATATATACTAATAATATCACATGGTTTCTTTTATCTTCACTTCAAGTTACGACATTGGACACTATCTTTGGTGATGCACAACATTTCCAAAATGTTTCTTTTAATTTTAATTTTAAACCAAAAATTTTAATGTCAATCTTAATTCCATATGATCATGTTTAAACTAGGTCCGATTTGTTTTCAACATATTTTAATTTAACACTTAGTTAAAACGAAAAAAAAAAATCATTTTTATTAAAAGTGAAAAAACTTTTAAAAATCAAAATCATTACGGTAAAAAAACAAAATCATTAATTTACAAAAAGAAGGTAAAAAGGTACCTGACAAGGCTGTGATGTCTTGAACAACCGCTTTGTTACACAACATCTTTAACGGACACAAATTTAATTTGGATTGATTCACTATATAATCCTCTTATGGATTGCTTCTTTTGTCCTTAAAAGAAAACAAGAACCGGAAATGTAAGACTCACCGCGAATCAGTCATAACTCTGATGAAATTCGGCTAGTCAAAACATATTTATTGTAGATTAGTTAGTTTTTTGATCCAAACAAACTGATGGATGCAAATGAACTGAACATTACAATACGTGAAAACATGTTGAAGTTATACACCTCGAGCACAAAGGATTTTTTCAAAGTATTTTAATTTAACACTTAAATATTTTAAAACATTTTATATAATGATCAATTTTAGTGAAAAATCAAAAACATTTACTTAAAATAATATTTATAAATTTATGAAAAGCCTTAAAAGCTTCTAAGTGTTAAATTTATAATACGTGAAAACATGTTGAACTTTTACACCAAACTTACGGACCACAAAAGGACTGGATGCTAGGTCCGATTTGTTTTCATCGTATTTTAATTTAACACGTAGTTTTAAAGTTTAAACTAAAATTTTTTTTTTTTGGATAAATTAAGAATTAAAACTATTTACTTGAAAATTTATTTGTTAAAAACCTTGATATTTAATTTTAAATCATAAAAATCAAAAAGAACTTTTAAAAATCAAAATCACGGTAGAAAAAAACAAAATCAATATTCTTAATTTAAAGAAAAAAAAGGTAAGAAAGTATAATATTAGTACGTACCTGCTTAGATTTGGAGAACTGAACGTTGACATATGAGGATCTATGATTGTTTTTCACTTCCGGTTTTGCTCTCTTCCTTCTCCTTTTCTCTCTTCTTATAAAGCTTCTCGAGGACACGTTTCATTAGAAGCTAGCATGAATCCATATTGCTGAAGACACTTCAACATTGCTTTGCTTTTGAGTCCCTGAAGGAAACCTTGTGCATATCTCTCTTATTCATCGTTAGCAACATTACTTCTACTCTCTCGGCTTTAGACTTGAGATCTTCTATTACGGTTTCCATGTCCCATATTGCTGACCACAACATGTTGTGCTGTTCTTGATTTGCTTCTGATGATATACCTTTAGAATTTTGTAATTGAACTTCTAACTCCTTGACGAGAGAGTTCACCTTCTTTGAGAAAATTTTAGTTCCTCAGTAAGTTCAAGATTTGCAGCAGTAAGCTCTTTAATCAGCTTTTGTTCAGCTGACTTCACATGTTCTCTCAAAGTGAGCAGTTCTGAAACTATCTCACTATTTTCTGCAATTCTTCCCTCAACCTTTTTGCAACAGAAGATCTTTTGCTTCGAGTTGTTCAGTGCAATCTTCAAGCTTAGCCGTAAGTTCGGAGTCCCGTTAGGCTAACCCATTCAGACTAAACTGGAGAATCTGTTGGGCAACAATTAGCACTTGGCCACACGTTTCACAAGATATTAACCAAAGAAAACAAGAACAGGAGATGTAAGAACTTACCATTCACGGCGAATATCTGTCACAGTTCTGATGAAATTCTCGCTAGTCAAAAAATATTCATTGTGATCCTGATGGATGCAAATGAATCACCTGCCAAACCGAGAATTTAAGCATGAGATAAACACAAGAGAATAATGTTTTAAATGGACACTGAATATGTCTTGACATACTTAGTTTTCTTTGACTGTCAAGTAATTGCCAATGCGTTCCAAGTGAGCCATGTCCTTCCTTAGGCTGCAACTCTACGAGGTTGTCCTTTAATAGTACATCCATCCAACCAAACCACTTCAAATTCAAGAAAACAGAGGATTATTATTACGAAGACCTCTCGCTCGATTCTTCTCTTTACTTTTGAATTTTTCGTCTCGTAAGTCTCCGGTAGGTAGATAAGATTCAATATTCCGGTGAAATCGGTATTGAATCAGACTGACGAAGAAGAAGAAGAACAGAGGATCATCAATCGATGAAACAAAACGAAACGAAACAAAACGAAACGATGATATAAAAATTTACTTTCCAATCTTACCCTTACGGTTGGTTACGGATCATCATCGTCTCCCGTTGCTTTGATTTCAATATGTCTCTCTACTTTGATGGATCATCATCATCGGAATTCACAGCGACTCTGTATGTATGTAGAACAGACGAAGAAAAAGAAGAGAGTTTTTGATTTCTCTCTCAAAGGAAATTAATATTACTCTTACAACGGTCATATTAAATATTATAGGAAAATTAATATTTCCTTTTTATTATTTTCTTAATCGTAACGGTAACAAGTAATATTACTGTTTACAACAGTCATCTTTATTATTACAGTTATCAATATTCAAACATGCAATTGGTATATCTAATTAATTAAGAAGTTTAAAGAAAAGGAAATTTTATGTTTTGTCTAACAACGGTCAGATTAAAATATATTTTGAAGGATATTCATACTATGGTTTCTGTTATTTCTTCATTGCAAAGGTAACAAAATATATATTTTTTTTACAAGAGTTAAAGTTTATTTTCAAGAAAAATACAGTAAAACCTTTATAAATTAATACTCGATAAATTAATTATCTCTATAAATTAATAAAGTTTTGACCAGTGTAGTTTAGACGTAAGATAATAATTTTTTTAAAATTCTTTGTAAATATATGGTTTCATCAATATTATAAATTAATAATTAGGTAAAATTTTCAAAATATATGTATATATAGATACATTAATTTTTGTTAAAGTTTATTTCTAATATAATATCAAAAATTGTTAGCATTTTGTTTCAAGACATAATAATCATTATTTTCTTTGTAACTGATTATATAAAATACTAATTATCATGATTAAATCTTATTTTAAATTTTTTTTTGAAATTTTTTTTGAAATTTTTTTCCAAATTAGTAAAATCTCTCTATAAATTTATTGATACATTGAAACCTCTACACATTAATAGATTTTCATGGTCCCAATATTATTAATTTATAGAGGTTTTACTGTATATAACTTTCTTAACGTCGGCAAGTTTGATTCTATGTTGTATCAATTTTTTTATTTGCTTTTAAAAACGATATTCTTTTGTTAACATAAATTTAACAATATATCTAAAACGACCATGTCCACAAAACTTATTTATTTTTCAATAAATGATAACTTTATGTTAAAAATCAAAATAATTTTTATAAAACTACTTCAAAGCTTCTAAGTGTTAAATTTACAATACATGAAAACATGTTAAACTTTTACACCAAACTAACGGACCACAATGGAATGGATACTAGGTCCGATTTGTTTTCATCGTATTCAAATTTGACACTTAGATTCAATTAAAAAAAAAAAATCATTTTGGTTAAATTTAAATTTAAAACTATTTACTTGAAAATTATTTGGTAAAAACTTTAATATCTAGTTTTAAATCATAAAATAAGAAGTTAAAAAAATATATACTTTTTGTATATTTTTAGATCAAAATCATTATTATTAATGTCAAAAAAAAAGGGGAAGAAAGTATATAGTATACCTGCAAAGGCTGTGATGTCTTGAGCATCCTGAGGCGATTTGGTGATTTGTTCTGTAATTTGAAACCACAAACGAGAGAGGGCAGCTAACTAACCTGTTTATACCTCGATTCACTATATAATATAATCCTTATAAGGATATTAACCAAAGATAACAAGAATATGAAATGTAAGAACTTTACCATTCACCCCGAATATTCGTCACAGTTCTGATGAAATTCTCGTTAGTCAAAAACATATTCGTTGTTAATTACTCACTCAGGCTTGTGATCCAAGCAATTTGATGAGCCACCTGCAAAACAAAAAATTTAACCATGAGATTAGCACAAGAGAACAATGTGTAAATGGAAACTGAATTTAACCAATTGGGATCTTCATCTCTGAGAATTTACATTAACCAAGTTAGTTACGGTAAATTTTAACTGTCTCTAAACAAAAGAGGAAGAGAAAGGGATAATCACTTACTATTAAAAGCGAGGTGACTCTTGCTTCAGCTTCATCTGCTGCTTTTTGAGCCTCTCTAGGTCGAATAAACCAATTCAGTACTACGAAAGAATTGGTATTTATTTGTAACAGAAGAGCCAAGAGGTCTATGGGAGAGGCATCAACAGATGCATAGAGGTGATGAGACTAATACCATTTGCTTCATGAGAGCGTAACTCAGAAACTGCAACTACTATATCCATCTGCATCAGCACTTACTTAGGATATGCAGAACCTAACTCTAATACTTAATTCTAATTGATAATCATACATATGGAAGAAATATATGAGTTGCAGAATAGAAACTGGTGGCAAGTTTAAAAGCCTACATACCTAACCAAAGCTACCAAGAATATATAAAAAACGAAAGTGAGAGTGTACCTGAGAGCATGGCTGAAACCAAGAGAGAATCTCGTTTTGAGGAGTTGAAAGAGGAAGCTCTCTCTGCATGAGAGAACATAACTGAGAAACTGCAACTACTATATCTATCTGCATCAGCACTTACTTAGGATATCCAGAACCAAGACTAGAGACTGCTGATGAGATAACCTAACACTAATACTTACCTTACCAAACGAAAGTAAAGGCGTACCTGAGAGAGCACGGCTGAAACTTAGAGAATCTTGTTTGAGTAGTTGAATTCAGGATATCAATGAAACTAAACGATGATATCAAAATTACTTTACAATCTTACCCTTACGGTTACGCATCATCATCGTCTCCGGTTGCTTTGATCATCATCATCGGAATTCACAGCGACTTACTTAAGCACGGTTCACAAAAGAAGAGAAGCTAAAGAGAGACAAAAGCTTACTTACTTAAGCACAATTCTGTAACTAGACGAGGTTGTCCTGTGTGAATCCAACCAAACCACTTCAAATCAAGAAAACAGAGGATTATTATTACGAATACCTTTCAGTATCCGGTGAAATCGATATTGAATTAGACTTGACTAAGAAGAAGAAGAAGAACAGAGGATCGATTCTGATCAATCATTCAATTTACGAAACGAAACATTACTTTCCAATCTTACCCTTACGGTTGGTTACGGATCATCATCGTCTCCCGTTGCTTTGATTTCAATATGTCTCTCTACTTTGATGGATCATCGGAATTCACAGCGACTCTGTATGTATAACGAAGACGAAGAAAAAGAGAGTTTTTGATTTCTCTCTCAAAGGAAGAATGAAGAAGCGTTGAGTAGAGAGATAGAGAGATAAGAGAGCTTTTGATTTCTCTCTCAAAGGAAGAAGAACAAATTAATTATTAAGTTTGAGAAGAAAAGGAAATTAATATTACTCTTACAACGGTCATATTAAATATTATAGGAAAATTAACATTTCCTTTTTATTCTTTCTTTTATCGTAACGGTAACAAGTAATATTACTGTTTACAACAGTCATCTTTATTATTACAGTTATAAATATCCAAACATGCAATTGTTATATCTAATTACAAATTAAGAAGTTTAAAGAAAAGGAAATTTTATGTTTTGTCTAACAACGGTCAGATTAAAATATATTTTGAAGGATATTCATATTATGGTTTCTGTTATTTCTTCATTGCAAAGGTAACAAAATATATATATATTTTTTACAAGAGTTAAAGTTTATTTTCAAGAAAAAAACAGTAAAACCTTTATAAATTAATTATCTCTATAAATTAATTATCTCTATAAATTAATAAATTTTTGACCAGTTTAATTTTAGACATAAGATAATATTTTTTTTTTGAAAATCTTTTGTAAATATATGGTTCCATAAATATTATAAATGAATAATTAGGTAAAATTTTCAAAATTTATGTATATATAGACACATTAGTTTTTGTTAGAGTTTATTTCTAATATTTTTACTATATCAAAAATTGTTAGCATTCTCTTTTAAGATCTAATAATTATTTTTTCTTTGTAACTGATTATATAAAATACTAATTATCATGATTAAATCTTATTTTTAAATTTTTTTTTGAAAAACTTTCCAAATTTGGAAAATCTCTCTATAAATTTATCGATACATTAAAACCTCTATAAATTAATAAATTTTCATGGTCCCAACAATATTAATTTATAGAGGTTTTACTGTATATATAACTTTCTTAATGTAGGCAAGTTTGACTCTATGTTGTATCAATTTTTTTATTTTTGTTTGCTTTTAGAAACGACATTCTTTTGTTAACATAAATTTAATGATATATCTAAAACGACCGTGTCCACAAAACTTATCTATTTTTCAATAAATGATAACTTTTTGTTAAAAATCAAAATAATTTTTATAAAACTACTCCAAAGCTTCTAAGTGTTAAATTTACAATACATGAAAACATGTTGAACTTTTACACCAAACTAACGGACCAAAAAAGGACTGGATGATAGGTCCGGTTTGTTTTCATTGTATTCAAATTTAACACTTAGATTCAATCAAAGAAAAAAAAACATTTTGGTTAAAAATTTAAATAAAACTATTTACTTGAAAATTATTTGGTAAAAACTTTAATATTTAGTTTTAAGTCATAAAATAAGATGTTAAAAAAAAAATACTTTTTGTTTATTTTTAGATCAAAATCATTATTCTTAATGTCAAAAAAAAGGGGAAGAAAGTATATAATATACCTGCAAAGGCTGTGCCTGTGATGTCTTGAGCATCCTGAAGCGACTTGGTCGTTTGTTCTGTAATTTGAAACCATAAACGAGAGAGGGCAACACTTACTTAGGATATGCAGAACCTAACACTAATACTTAATTCAAAATGATAATCATACGTAAGGAAGGAAAAAAATGACTAATGAACATTAGACTAGTTGCAGAATGGAAATTGCTAGCAAGTTTAAGCCTACCCTTAACAACTTACCTAACCAAACGAAAGTAAGGGCGTACCTGAGAGAGCACGGCTGAAACTTAGAGAATCTCGTTTGAGTAGTTGAATTCAGGATTGACTTGTCTTCACCATTATCTCACCTGTCTTCATCATCAAGTAATTCAAAACTTCCAAGGCTCGCACATGTGGATGATCTTGATTCTTGACAACAGTCCTTATAGCAGCCTCAAGATAGTTCCTCTCATGCTCCTAAGTGTAAAAGATCTCAACAAGATGAAGCCTTTCATCAGAGAAGCAATGTTAGTTGTTGCACACTCATCACAACTAACTTAAGATCAAGACTATATCTCAAACACTTGTTTCAGAAGACCTAAGAACACATCTGTAGCTAATTACACAAATTAGTAAAGAAGAGAAGCTAAAGAGAGACAATGCTTACTTAAAGCAAGGTTCTGCAACTCCAACAACTTCCTACGCTTATCCGTAGTTTAAGTATCTAAAACAAGTCTATTACAGTTAGCTATTCATTCTCTAGACACTAAAAATCATCATCTCTAATTAAATCATTCCTAATAAAGTTATAATAAAGTCTAGAATATCAAATTCAAAATCAAGAAAACAGAGGAGTATTAGGAATACCTCTCGCTCGATCAGGTCTAGTTTTCAAACACTTGTTTCAGAAGACCTAAGATCACATCTGTGGGAAGTTACATAAACTAATAAAGAAGAGAAGCCAAAGAGAGACAAAGCTTACTTACATAAACCACGGTTCTGTAACTCTACGAGGCTGTCCTGTGTGCATCAAACCAAACCACTTCCTACGCTAAGTCTATTACAATTAGGTTTTCATTCCTAATAATAAAGTCTAAACATCAAATTCAAAATCAAGAAAACAGAGGAGTATTCCTAATACCTCTCCCTCGATTCTTCTCTTCAGTTTTGGATTCCGTCGTAGTCAGTCTCCGGTGAAAGCGTCTCCGTGGGTAAGGATTCAATAACCGGTGAAATCGATTCTGAATTAGACTGACGAAGAAGAAGAACAGAAGAGATCGATTCTGATCAATCATTCAATTAACAAAACGAAACGATGATACAATATCAATAAAAAATACTTTTCAATCTTACCGTTACTTATCATCATCGTCTCTCTCTCCGGTTGCTTTTATTCTAATATCATCGTCAGAATTTACAAAGACTCTGTATACGTATGTACTTTTGGATTTAGGGTTATAGAAGAGGAAGAAGAAGAAGAAGTTTTGATTTCTCTCTCAAAAAAGAATGAAGAAGAAGAAGCGTTGTGTTGAGACTTGAGAGAGAGAGAGAATAAACAAATTAATTTAGAAGTTAAAAAAAAAAAGGAAATTGAAATTAATAGCATAACGGTCAAATTTAATTATATTTTCAAGAAAATTAAGATATTTCGTTAATGTTTTTTTCTTTTTTACCTCATCCCAACGGTAACAAAATGCAACGCTAATGATAGAAACAATTTATTAACCAAACTTTCAATAATTTTGTATGCGATAAAATTTTAAGACTAATCATATTTTGGATGACTAGGAAATTTCATAAAATTTTCTCAACTTCTAGATAATTTCTAAGCAGTACAGTTCTAAAAAGTTCAAATTAAATATCCAAACATATATATCATACGATTCATACCTAAGCTTAAGATATCAGTTATTTTGTTATTTTGTTTTTTTTTTAGATTCAAAATTTTTGCCGAAACTAACCAAAATTTATTTCAGTTCGGCTAATTTGATTTTAATTTTAAAACAAAACTATCCCAAATCAGTTTTTTTTTTTAAAAAGAAGAAAAAACTGATTTTTGCGCTTATTTGAGGATAATTACGGAGGTTTTAGTTTTTTTTTTTAATTATTTCAAATATTTTGATTATTTTTTATTTTATTATCGGATATAATTCGGTTATTTTTGAGCTAAACTTTTGGTTATGTACTTTTCTAAAACCCAACTTATTCCCAAACCGTTAAAGTATATGATAATGATTATAATGAAAACATGTATAAAACGAGTATTCGAATACAGATCGGGTCGGGTCGAGTTTGATATCGTTCTAATCATAATTTTAGTGGAATACACTAGAATTGATTAAATGGAAAAATTGAAACAGAGCAATTTCAGAGCAGCAGCAGCCAGCAACCAGCAACCATGCATAGCTTCGATTTCTTTCTAATTCTTTATTTTCGTAAACATGAGTTTCTTTTTTGTTATTTGCTCTCTTCTCCTATGTTTTTTTCATTCTATTATTTCTATGTGTTATGTATCGTATGATACACATAGATCTACTTCGGTATTGAATCCCTACGCTATTTTATCATTTTATCATTAACAATCATCAATAAGTAAATCAAAGTTACCAATATCTTCATCTTAAGAAAACAACAATAACTAGGAAATAAATAAGAAGCAAACGAAACATCCTCCATCTTTGCTTATGATTATGAGGAAGGGATCCGAGATAGCCAATGCGGGAGAACAAACGAGGTATAATATATGTCACAGAGAACTTGGAATGGGTTCAGTTCTCTAGGCTCTACCAAAGCTCAAAATATTACCATGGCTACTACAATGTTCCAATTTGTTGTGAACCCAAAGCTTGCCTTTGTTGAACTTAGCAGATACCAAACATTTACGCATGTGGCTCTGCATGTAGCATCAAATGGGTTTATACCCATTAGGTAGTACATATTTAAACCCACAGCGATTTCAGATACTAGTTGCCAGTCCCTGCTCTCTAATCGCGACAGTATTTTGGGATTGAATCCAAAAAAAACAATCAAATGCATGATGAATTATATTAATATAAAAATGTTAGGATAAAAAAGAGTTTCTAACAAATCAAGGTAAGTATCCAAAATCAAATTCCACAAAATAATAATAAAACATTGAAGTAAAGCAAATCTAAGGCCAATTATGCAATGAATGCAAACAAATACAATATCAGAAGCATTTAGAGCATGTCCATCGGCAGTTTCACAGAATATCTGGAGAATAAAGAGATAAAATATATTACAACAGTAGGAAAGAGAGTCAGGGACATTAGAAACGTTTCTCGTTTGAGAACATTTTTTTTTTTTTTAACTTGGTCAAATTCTAATTTTTTAACTTAAAATTAAAATAATTAAATACTAAATTTTGAAACTCATACTATGTATTATTACCGATGGTGATGCTCTTAAAACTATTTTTGAACTGACTTACTAATGTAAAAGTATTCTGCTTTTGCATGTAATATCTATGTAAGAATTTTTCTATAGATGAAAATGAAAAATTCATTAAGTTTCAAAAAATTCTAACAAGCATTAATATCCTTATTTGATTAGTTTACATAGTCGAAGAACAGCAATAGTTCATTGACTGAGGTTAGATATACTAATTCAACAATGATGTTAAATCTTTTGACAAGATTTATATAAACATGTAGAGAAGAATGATAAAGTAGGAATTTTAACGGACCTTTATGGTGATCTTATTAGCAGCCAATGCTATGCTGGATGAACAAACTCTTCTTCTCTTTTCATTTTCTCTCTATTCCTCAATTTCGTAGTATATTGCAATGTGTCCTGTTCAAACATTGTATCATTACAAATCATCAAAGTGTAAAAAAATTCAGTTTTTTTCCTTTTCTACTGTCTTGGTTAGACCAAAATACTCAAAAGTCAAAACTAGCCAAAAACCTAAAACAATCCTACAGCTTGTAAGAGAATAAACACGAATCAAGGGAACTCTTCTCACCTTTCTCTTGAATACGAGGTCGGGAAACGGTGCAGCGAACGCGGGAGAGCGAACTTTGAAAAGAATGAGTCAAAGAGGTCTTCAAATGGGTTCCAATCTCTAGCAAAGCTCAAAACACCATCGCTGCTACATTCTAAGTTCTTGTGCCGCCCAAACTTGCCTTTGGTCAAGTTGTTTGATACAAAACACTTATGCATCTCATTCCACAAGTACATTATATTAGCATCAAAAGGGTTTATCACCAATGGAAAGTAATCTACACCGCGCTTAATACAAGCCGAAGATACTATTTGCCATTCCTCGTTCTTCAACTTCCATACACATAACTTATGCTCTACACTTCCATCATCTTTGTCTTCTTTGATAATGTTCATATACATTAGAGATCCTTGAGATGTTGTGCAAGCTCTTCTGAAGTTCACATTGTTCTCTACATCAGGGAACTGTATAACTCTACATCGATCATATTCCGTGCCAGTAGCATATAGATTATGGGATACAACAACGTCATGATCGCCTCTCGTGGAGCCAAGCCAGTAAATGTTTCCACCGTTCAAGCTAACAGGATTGAACCAATTCACATGACACAAAGGGACAGGACTTAGGAGAGTGTTCAAATTCCAGAAGCCTGTCATAGATGAAAATATGAGTAATGTTATCTCGCCAGTATCCATGCTCTTTTTATTCATCAGAACAACTTTGTAACTTAAAACAACCCCGTTTTCAGTTTGTGTTCCAAGTGCAGATGGTCTGAATATATCAGCTGTTAGTGGCCGTTGCAGACGAGGAAGAGGAGGTAACTCAACACATTGTCGTGAAATCGGATTAGCTACAAAGTAGTGGTTAGGTTTCAAACTAACAAGAATCAATCCGACATCAGTGTAAGCCTCGACAGTGACCTTGTCTTTATGAATTTTGAATGTGTGGGCTAGGAAAGAAGAGATGTAAGAGCCTAGAGATTGTTGAAGTCCCCAAGTCTCGCATCTGTAGTGAGCCACTTCTTTATGAGTGTCTCTGCACATGAGTGACCATGAAGTAGTATGAAAGTTTTGATGATGAGACTTGGAAAGTTCGTGTAGAGATTGAGATTCGAATATAGTTTTCCATTCTTTGCAAACCAATACGAAAGCTGTGATGCTCCTTAGTGGTAATCTTGATAATATATTTAACATGAGATCTTCTGTGAAGTAATAATCCATCTTCTTCTTCTTCTTCGTTCCTGACTCCATTGGATTTAGATGTTAGATCGGGTTAGGGTTTACTCTGTTTCAGAAGACTAACCCTAAGAATAAGTATTGTATCATTTTTTTTTGTATAAGATATAAATAGCCACTAGTATATTGGGCTTCTGGACCTAATTCGAGAATCTGATCATGTTTGTTATGTATGAAAAAGAAAAAAAAATTATTAATCTCAAGGAGTTAATATAGTAAAAAAAAAAAGTAGACATAAAAAAGAAATATAAAGAAAATAACTGTCACAATTTTAAGAAATGTAGAAAAGGTCAACACTTAAATGTCCACATTTAAGAATAACAAAAATAAAATGTTCAAAGATTACTTTTCTGAAACAAGTAAAGTAATAAATCGCTTAGATAAGAAATTATTCAAATTATTGAAAAAGAAGAAGTTAATTTAAGAATTTGAGTATGATAATACTTTAAAATTGAGAAATATGTGTTTGACTGAATACACTAGTGAATATATAGGAAATAACAGAATTTCGAATTAAGCGTAATTTGTTTGGAAAATTCACAAATTACGGGTGACTTGAGCTGAAAATTCCAATGTGACTTGCAAGAACGTTTACCGAAGGTAAACTTACGTATTTCTTGGATCAATTATAGAGTCTTCTTTGATTTATCCTCTATTACTCTTCATGAAATATCCCAAAATGTAACTCGTGTATATATATTTTTGCCCGTTTAGGTTTAACTAAATTTTTAAAGATTTTATTTTGAATATGTTATATTTATTTAACTTTTAATTTCTATTTAAATATAATATGATATGGTGCAACGTTATAGGCTAAATAAAAATGGTGAATCCAAGTATTGCTCAAAATAAATTTGAGACTAGTAAACGTAACAAATGATTTAGTGGGATTGAATGACTTATAAATGTTTCTGAGGAAATTTTTTGTGATAAATAGCACAATGGGTTAACGAAGACTTTACCGACAAAGGAAAATTAAGGATTAACGAGGACTTAGACAAATCAAACTAAACCAACGACTTAACTCAAGACTTGGTATAAGTCACAGCTCCACTAAGGGGTTTTTATTTCCTCTTCTTCTTTTTAAAGAGATTAAGTGAATCACTCATTACTCATTACTACACAACACAAACTCAAAAATATAGATATGATGACTCAAGGCCATTGTTATTCGTTTTCTTGTATTATTACCATCTACTATTTCTCCCTCTTTATACACTCTCTAGCTTCTCCTTCGCTCCACCTTTGCCGCCACGACCAGAGGGACAGTCTTTTGGAATTTAGACACGAGTTTTCGATATACGAATCTAAGCCGAATCCGTGGAATAAGAGCACTGATTGTTGCTTTTGGAAGGGTGTCACGTGCGATGATAAATTTGGCCAGGTTATATCACTCAACCTTCGTAGTACCTTTCTTAACAGCTCTTTGAATACTAACAGTAGCCTATTTAGACTCCAATATCTTCGTAGCTTAGACCTTTCAGGTTGCAATCTCCAAGGAGAGATTCCTTCTTCACTAGGAAACCTTTCTCGTCTCATATATCTTGAGCTTTCTTCTAATAGATTAGTAGGCGAGATTCCGGCTTCAATAGGTAATCTAAAGTATATAAGAAACCTTAGCCTTGGGTATAATGATCTCACAGGAGAGATTCCTACTTTACTAGGAAACCTTTCAAATCTTGTAGATCTTGGACTTTTGCATAACCATTTGGTAGGTGAAGTTCCGGCTTCCATTGGAAATCTTAACAAGCTAAGAGTCATGTCATTTGAAAACAATAGCTTAAGTGGAAGTGTCCCTATTTCATTTGCCAATTTAACTAACCTTTCTTTTTTTATCCTCAACAATAATAACTTCACATCACTTCCATTTGGCATGAGTGGGTTCAAGAACTTGGTGACTTTCGATGTTAGCGAAAACTCATTTGTCGGCCCTTTCCCTAAATCTTTGTTCTCGATTCCTTCACTTATAGCGGTTGATTTAGAAGATAACCATTTTACAGGATCTATAGAGTTTACGAATACATCTTCATCATCTACTCTTCAATATCTACTCCTTACTAATAATAGATTAGATGGCTCTATCCCTGAATCCTTATCTCAACTTCACAACCTCGTAATGCTGGATCTTGCCAACAACAATTTCAGTGGGAGAATTCCTAGATCTATGTCAAAGTTAGTTAGCCTTGGTTATCTTGGTCTTTCCAATAACAAGTTGGAAGGTGAAATACCAGGTTGGTTGTGGAGACTATCGTCGGTGATGCTTTCTCACAATTCCTTCAGCAGTTTTGAAGAATCTTCAAAAGAAACAATGATCCAAGTGTTGGATCTGAGTTCGAATTCATTTGGAGGAACATTTCCCCTTTGGATATGCAAGCTTGAATGGTTGAACTTTCTAGATATGTCCAACAATCTCTTCAATGGCTCGATTCCTTCATGTTTAAGGCATTTCGATCTTACGCAACTGATTCTGCGGAACAACAACTTCAGCGGAACGATTCCGGACATATTTTCCAATACTACCAACTTACAATCACTAGACATAAGTGGTAACCAGCTGGAGGGGAAGTTTCCAAATTCTTTGATCAATTGCAAAGCTCTACATTTTGTGAATGTTGAAAGCAACAAAATCAAGGATACGTTTCCGTCTTGGTTGGGATCTTTCCCATCTTTACGTGTCCTCATCCTAAGATCAAACAAGTTCTATGGGCCACTTTATCATCGCAACATGTCCTCTGGTTTTCAAAGTTTAAGAATCATTGATATATCATACAATGGCTTCACTGGAACTCTCCCAAGTCACTTTTTTTCAAGTTGGCTTCAAATGATCTCACTAGGTGTAGAAAGTGATGAATACATGGAAGATATTCAGAATTTTTCTCTTGTCTATAGCTCGATGGAAATGGTGAATAAAGGAGTAGAAATGAGTTTTGAACGAATCCGACAAGACTTTAGAGCCATTGATTTTTCTGCAAACAAATTTTACGGCAAAGTCCCTGAATCCATTGGCTCTTTGATGGAATTGCGTCTTCTTAACTTGTCAAGTAACGCGTTCACAAGCGATATCCCAAGATTCTTGGAAAATTTGACTAATCTCGAAGCACTAGACCTATCATGTAACAAGTTTTCAGGTCAAATCCCTCAAGATCTTGGGAAACTCTCCTTTCTTTCATACGTGAACTTCTCCCATAACCTTCTCCGAGGTCCACTGCCACGAGGCACACAGTTTCAAAGGCAGAAATGTTCTTCCTTCTTAGGCAACCGTGGACTCTATGGTCTTGAAGATATATGTGGAGAAACTCATGTCTCCAATCGTACATCACAACTACCGGAGGGAATGTCAGAGGAGGAGGAAACAATGTTCAATTGGGTGGCAGCTGCAATAGCCTATGGACCTGGTGTCTTTTGTGGTTTGGTGATAGGATACATCTTCACTTCACACAATCATGAATGGTTCGCGCAAAAGTTTGGTGGAAAAAAACTGAGAGCCACTACAAGTGCTCGTTAAGTCCATCTCTTTTAGTCCCTATATATAAGAATTTGTGTACCGTCTTGTTTGTTTTATGTTTATGTAATAAACGTCTTTGGTTTTGTTATACGTTGTCTGATCATGACTGTTCATAATTTTGTGACAGTAATGATTCGTGACACATGTAAATGGAGAAACTCCAATATTGCAAAGATATCAAATGTATGAAACAATTCAAAAAGCTATCGACAGTTAATAACCTATATATATTTTCTTTAATTAAGTTTGTTAATATAGTAAAAGATATTAAACCCGAAAATGTAACAAACTGTAACACTAAATATTAAATAAACCAAACACCACCTTAGCTAGAAAGAAAATAAAAGAAAAATTAAGAAGTCTTGCAAAATCATTTTGTGGTAACAGGGATCTTATGCACCCATTGTGGGAAAACGCACGATTTCTCAAATTCAGTGGATTTCAGCTGAATGATACCGTTTCTGTCACGTTCCATCTCACTATGGAGAAAACTTCGTTGCATACTTCTACTGTGTAAGTTAATAGAAAGCAATCTTTGTTTCATATTAGTGTTCCCAAAGTAGACTATTTTAGCATCAAAAGGGTTTATTCCCAACGGAAAATGTCGGGAACAGTCAGTATCATCAATCAAATCCCACGCGATTTCAGATACAAGTTGCCATTCCCAACTCTTTAGCCTCCATACACATAACGTATCCTCTAGTGTTCCATCAGCTTTGGTTACAGGGACTACATTCATATACATGAGTGATCCTTGACAAGTTGAGCAAAATCTAATGAAATTTGCTTCTTTCATTGAAGGATACAACAACATCTTCATCCATACCAATGATATAGGTGACCCAGTGAAAAGTCCCATGCAAGATGATGGGAGATTTTAAGTACATAGAGGGATTGTAGACAGTTTTGTAGACACTCCACAAGCATGTATGAGATGAATATATCAATAAGTTGTTTTTCCTGTAGAGAACAACTTTGTAATCCAAAACGACACCTTTCTCAGTTCTTGTGGTGATTCCCAAGGGCCATGAGTAAACTTTGTGATGAGCATTATGAGAAGGTATTTTAATGCATTCATGTGTAATTGGATTAGCCACGTACAATGATCGGTTCTTCCCATGGTATTTGACTTCACTGATCAATATCAATCCAACCTCAGCGTAAGACCAGACTCTGTATTTGTGTCTCTGACTCCCAAACTTCTTGGTTAGGAATGATGAGATGTAAGAGCCTAGAGACCTTTCGAGACCCCAACTGTTGAATCTGTATTGAACTATGTGTTCTTTCTCGTAATCCGAAGACATGAGCGACCATGATGAGTTTTGGTGCGTAGAGTGAAACAAGTCACGGAAATATGGAGAATCCAAGATCGAGTCCCATTGCTTGCAAACAAGTTTGAAGGTTGTGAAAGTTTTTATTGGCAATTTCGAGAGTATAATTGTCAATAGCTCCTCTGGAATTGAATTCATATCTTCCTCCGATCCTCTCTCTCTCTCTCTATTAGATTAGGGTTTTTTGTTGAAGCGTGTGTGTGTGTATATATATAATATTAAGATTAGGGAAAAATCTTACACATCATTATCATTATTATAAAAGAGTATATAATAAAAATGATACTTAGACGGTTAATGAAAAGGAAAAAATATTTTAGAAGGAATATTCAAAATTTATAATTAACTAACTTGTATATTTATTTTTCGGTAATATCAATCAATTTGGCGCGATCCGGCTGGCCCAAAATAAATATAAATTTATATTTCAAAGCTCGGTCCGGCCTTAACAATACTAAAGTTTTTTCGGGAATTTTCAGGGCTTTTTTCTTTTGGTTTTTCTTACGAGTAAAAAGATCAAACTTCTAAGTTTATAACATATCTTAAAAAAAATATTTAATGGTTCATCATGAAACAAATGATTTCATAATTAAATAGCCCATCAATATTCATTAGAACAACCTTAATTTAAAAGAAAAAGAAAAAGAAATTTTTTTGTTTATAGTTTAATCCAATAAAACATGAAAATAAAATATATTAAAGCAGGTGGTAGAGTCAAGATTTTAATTTACTTCAATGTTCAAAATCAAGATCTACATATATATATTTGTTGGGTATATATAAATTATATAAAATATCATAATTGTTTTTATAGAATTAAGTAAAGCCACTGTGTAAATATGAAAATTAAGGTTAGGGTTTTCAACTTTATTTGAAATAAATCATTAGTCAAACTAAAATGTTAACAAAAAATATCAAAAATACATTTAGTCAAGGGATTTTGGACCAGTTCGAGTTCGACCAGGCTAAGCTCAAAAAACCTTTTTATCCGAATATAGTTAGTTCAAAAGACCCAATTTTTTCTAAACATATATATTTAATCTCGAACCAAATGTTCTTCAGGACATGATTGGGTTAATCCATGGACTTTGACCCTAATTGACAATGTCTACCTACCGACTAGAGTCTTTCTTGGTAAAAAGTAAAAACCTACTTAAGAAAAAGTCGATGGAAGTAAGAAACAAATATACTCTTGTGATGTATGAAAAACTCATAAATTTAAACCCTTAATAGAGTTTATAATCGATGCCTTCTTCAATTTTCTCCAAAGTTTTGCCTAAAGTTGTGCCCAGCTTATTTTTATTCATTCGATGAAAATCGAGAACGGGAGGGAAGAGAAGAAGAACACAACATAATCTGTTTCTCTACTTCACCAAAGAACACAACATGCATGGCATAATTTAACGTTCTTCTCTTTTTTTCTTTTCTTTTAATCTCGAGATTTCTAGCAACAAGGGATTAACCCGGCAACGCAACAAGTACCTTACCAGGTGAACAATCTTTGATACACGTTCGGGTATTTTTAATTTCTGCCTGGTCGATTAGATTTGTCGAAGTTTGATTTTACCTAGAAAAAATTAACCAAAAATTAATGTTTAAAAATGCTCAAAAATATTAAACATGTTCGGGATAAAACAGTAAAAATATCCATACCACTAAAAAAAGTAGGGAAGTATCCGAAAATACATAATATTACCTAAGTATCCAAAATAGGGAAATTGTCCTATTTCCCTACCATAACTATTGCATCGTATCAGACAGATGCGATAGTCACCGTGGGGAAATAGGACTCCTTTTTAGTATTATGTATTTAGGTAAAGAGGAGTCAATAATTTCTGTACTTTCTAGCCTCAAAGACCCACTCAGATATATCCCTAGAGCCGGTTCAGATCGAGATCGGGGATCAGGTTTGAGTTCCTAGGGTTCGGTTTTTTCTCTGCCTAGTCCTTCTGCTAAATTTGTACCGGAAATTCAATAGAGAAAACGTGTATCAATACATAGGATAGACTAAGAACATTGTTCTGTTCATATATTTTACCAAACAATTTGTTTTTCACTCTTTAAATTTTCTCTTTTATTAAGACCAAACCAAAAATACTGGAAATAAACCAAACACCATCTTCTTGCGTAAACATGTAAGAGTAATAAATAAAAAAGAAGAAGAAATACTTATAAAAGAAATAATTGCAGCCAAACAGATATTATGTCTAAACTATTCTCACCGTGTTGGGAATTCTATGCAGCCATTTTGGGAAAACGACCGAACGAAGCAAACTTCCATACTTTGTTGGGTAATAGCTTTTTTCTAACTTACTCTCAAGCACAAACTTTCCATTATGTAAGTTAATAGACAGCAAACTTTGTTGCATATTGCTCCAAAAGTAGACTCTTTTAGCATCAAAAGGGTTTATTCCCAAGGGAAGATAATCGAAACGGCCAGTATCATCAATGAAACCCCAAGAGATTTCAGATACAAGTTGCCATTCCCAACTCTTTAGCCTCCATACACATAGCTTATCCTCTAGTGTTCCATCAGCTTTGGTTACAGGGACTACGTTCATATACATGAGCGATCCTTGACAAGTTGAGCAAGATCTACTGAATCTTGGTTCTTTTCCTGAATCAGGGAATGGCGTAGTACGGCCATGTATAGAGTCTGTACCACTGGCGTAGACATCAAAGGATACAATAACATCTACATACTCACTATCGCGGGCAACCCAGTGAAGACTCCCGTGCAAGATGATGGTTGAGTGTAAAGAGGATATATCAGAATAGACAGCATTGTAGTCACTCCACAAGCCTGTCTGAGATGAATATATAAACAAGTTGTATTTGGTGTAGTAGAGAACAATTTTGTAGTCCAAAAGGACACCCTTCTCAGTTCGTGTAGCAATCCCCAATGGCCATGCGGAATACTTGTGCTGAGAATGAGAAGGTATTTTAATGCATTCATGTGTAATTGGATTAGCCACGTACAATGATCGGTTCTTACAATGGAAAAGGGCTTCACTGATCAATATGAATCCAACCTCAGCGTAAGACCAGACTATGTATTCGTTTCTCTGACTCGCAAACTTGTTGGTTAGGAATGATGAGATGTAAGAGCCTAGAGACCTTTCGAGACCCCAACTGTTGAATCTGTATTGGACTATGTGTTCTTTCTTGTAATCCCAAGACATGAGCGACCATGAATGTGAGTTTTGGTGCGTGGACTGAAACAAGTTACGAAAATATGGAGAATTCAAGATCGATTCCCATTGCTTGCAAACAAGTTTGAAAGTTGTGAAAATCTTTATTGGTAATTTCGAGAGTATAATTGCCAACAGCTCCTCTGGAATCGAACTCATATCTTCTTCCTATCTATCTCTCTCTAAATTAGATTAGGGTTTTTGTTGAAATCGTACGTGTGTTAGGTTTAGCCGATTAGGGTTCTATAAGACACAAATGTCATACTTATTACTAACTAGGTAAAAATAAAGTCTGATTTTTAAAAATATATTGTTATTTATCATTATTATTTTATAACATAAGTTTTTGAGTTTTAGTATTTTAATAGTTGTTATAAAGAAAATTGATTACAAAAACAATTCTCATAAATATCACTAAGTTAGATTTTTTTTTTCTCTAAAAACCTACGTTATTAGTTTTGGGAAATGAGAATTCTCTGGGAGATTCGAAAAAAGAAATAAATTAAATTAACATACAGTATATTGCATTAAATATCTTTCTTAAACTCAAATAAAAAATATAAAACTATCCTACTTTCGTATGAAACGATTATCTATGCAATGAAATAATTAAGCATGAAGAACAAAACACTTCAACATCAATTGTCTTTGACTAAGAAAGTTTTGCTTAGCTAAACTAGATTAATTGATTCATTAACACTTTTGTTGCCATGGCATTGATATTTGTTTTTCATTGTGATGTCAGCAAAAGCCGATTTTTACGTACTTAGCAGATACATGGAAGGACACCGTCCCCGTAAAGTAGCAAGAACCAATCTTAAGACTGTATTAATAAAATTAGAAGAAAAATTCTTAACAATTCAGAGAAGAAAATTTTGCATTGGCCGATCGAGACAGGGATGGATCATAATGTATTAGATTGAAACATGTCTATCTCGATCATAATGTAAGATATTTTGACAAATCTCCCATAGAATATGAACTTATTTTGGTTCTTGGATATCTTACCAAAGAGAAAATGTGTATTTTGGATAGGATAGACTTAATCTTCTATGTAATCGTAAAAAGTTAGCTTTCCTCTGTTCACATGATGCCACCTAAGCATACACCTAACTAACATTTTTAATTTTACACTAAAATAAATTTAAAGATGTATTTAATGCATATTTATGTTACTTAATAGAAAATTTATAATGCATATTTATGTTACTTAATGCATATTTATGTTATAATTAATAGAAAATTTATATAAATGAAAAATAAATTATATAAATAAATGAAATGTTAAAATAAGAAAACAATATTACAAATTTTTATTAGTGGTAATAATATAATTTAATTTTTAAATTCATGTTAGAATAAAACAACATTTATGTAATCGTATATATAAAATTTTAAACATGAAAAATCAAATTAAAGTGAAATATTAGTTTATAACATGATCAGGAAGAAAAAATCAAATTTGACATTTCATAAATTTAATCAAATGATTTTGATCCAAATTTGAGTATTGAAACATAGTAATTAAAGAGAAATAGTTATAATAACAGGTTTGGAGCTACTAATTTTTTCGAGAATTTTTCAAAATTAACAGGTTTTAATTTATGAAGCTTATAGCTTTCTCAAAACATGTGGCTTCAACAAATTTTATTGGCTTCAACAAAATTTTACATTTTAGAAAAACAACTAAAAAGTTGGCCCTAAAAAGTTTGTGGTTTATATAAAGAAACATGTGTTCAATATCTCAAACAGTTAGTTACAATATAGCATGATGTGCCCACATAATCCACATAATCTCATTGTTCCAGTTAGATTCTCACGCGTGTCAAATAAGCAAATACATGCAGTAATAGGCAACTTTACTCATCATTATGCAACTAAAATATAAATAGCTAAATAATAATTTTAATTTAATTATCATTATGCAAATCTTAAATTAAGACAAAACAAATGAAAGAAAACAAGAGTATAAGTATTTTGCTTGGTTTTTCAAGGCTAGAAATGTTTTGCTTTTTTTTTTTTTTTTGGTTAACTCAGGGTAAATCCCCAGACTTATGGAAGGATCCGAGACTAATCCCTAAGGAGAGGGTATCCCACGGGTAGGGTACCCCCAGGCTTTCAAATGTGCCTTAAGCAAGAGGCCCATACCCATGTGGCCAAAGGAATAAAGCTAGCAATTAGAAATGTTTTGCTTTCTCAACAATTATCCTAACAGAGAGACTAAATAACATATGTATAACAAGATTACAAAGTATTTTTACTTCAAGATACCAAAACATGAGCCACACTAGCTTATTACACAACTAAATAATAGCAAAAAAAATTAAAAAACAAATATCTTTTTTTAAGGGTGCACATATATATAGTTTTCTGATTGGTTTGGGTTTGTATATTTGGTTAACGTCTTTTCGGTTTTATAAATAATAAAATGATATAAAAAACCATATGTATCTTGGTTTGATTCATGATTTCATACCAGTAGTTTGTTTATTCTAGTTTTGTGAACCTAAATAATTTTAACCCAAAAAATCCGAAGAACTGATTCCAAAATTATAAGTAGTTAACCAATTGAAGATTAATCACCTAACTACTTATAAACCAATTGAAGATTATATATATATATATATATATATATATATATATATATATATCCTTTTTAGGATGCACATATATAGATTTTCTGGTTGATTTGGGTTTGTATTTTTGGTTAACGTTTTTTCGGTTTTATAAATAATGAAATTATATAAAAACCGTACGTATCTTAGTTTAATTCGTTTATGATTTGATATCATTATTTCATTTATTCTATATTTTAACACAAAAATACGGTTTATTGTTTTTAACCTAACGAAATCTAAACCAAAAATTTAATATAAACGACAACCAATTGAGCTATATGCTAAACCAAATCATTTTTTCTTTAATTCCGTCATATGTGTAACCACTTAAGAGCTTGTGGCTTATATAAAAAAAAAAACATGTGTTATATATCTCCAACAGTTAGTTACTCACAAGTATTTGTTTTTGCTTCAAAAAAAAACAAAACAAAAACATAATACTTTCTTCTCTACAACTATATCATCACCACACAAATCGTTGTCCACATTGTTTTTAACCTAACGAAATCTAAACCAAAAATTTAATATAAACGAGAACCAATTGAGTTATATGCTAAACCAAATCATTTATTTTTAAATTCGAATTGGTTTGTTTTTTTCTCACCTTTTTCTCTGTGGAAACTGCCATATGTGTAACCACTTAAGAGCTTGTGGCTTATATAAAAAATGAACATGTGTTATATATCTCCAACTAGCCCTGGGCAAAATATTCGTTAGATTCGATTTGCTTCGATATTCGTTTCGATTCGATTCGAAAAATTCAAATATCTATAAGATATTGAACCGAAGCAAATATGAAAATCTAGTATTCGTAAAAACCGAAGCAAATAACAAGTATTGATTTTTTTTTGTGCCGAATATCCGCTTCGATTCGTATATTTATATATATGTATAAATATAAATTATTATATAATACATATAATATATATAATATGTGTATTTATAGATTTGGGTATATATCTCATAGGCCTATTATTCAAATTATTATATTTTGGCTCGTTAGGTTTTTTTTTTGTTGCTAAATGTTGTTTTTAAGCAAATAAAACTTTACTAGAAAAATCATTATTAAAAATAAAATGTGAGAATTCTATGGACGGTGGTTACATTTACTTCTTATTTTGAAAATATGTCAAATAAAAACCTCTAATATTTCATATTTTGCAGTTTATATTTCTGTACTATATGTTTTTTGTTTCAAAAAAAAAATTAGATGGGTCGAAGCGAATCGAAGCAAGTAATTCGCAAATATTACGAAAAATATTCGAATATTCGAAGTTCCGAATACTCAAAAATTTACGAATCGAAGCAAATAGCAAAATCAACTATTCGATCGAAGCGAAGCAAATAACAAATATCACAAATTTTCCGAATATTTGCTTCGTGCCCAGGGCTATCTCCAACAGTTAGTTACTCACAAGTCACAAGTATTTGTTTTTTCTTCAAAAAAAAACAAAACAAAAACATATTACTTTCTTCTCTACAACTATATCATCACCACACAAATCGTTGTCCACATTGTTTTCATTCTATCCTAAATCGTTATCTACATTGTATCTTTCCTAAATCGTTATAGTTCTAACTAACGAAACACATGTTCCTTCTGCATCTTTTTCTCCTATAAATACCTTGTAGATCACTTAACCTAACATATCATTCAAACTTCAAACCTACAACATATTGATCAGCAAGATTCTCACTCAAGTTCTGGTAACTTTTCTCTATCTTTTCTCTATCTGGTAACCTTGCTTTTATGTATTTTTAGATTAGTATATTTTCATATTTATTTGTATATTGTTTTCATATTTCTGATAACAAAATCTATACAAGTATATTTTTCATATATATTTGTATACTGTTTTCATATTTCTTTTCATATTTTTGATAATAAAGTCTATACAAGTATTTGTCTTAGTGTTGATTTACTAGATTGATAACTCGTGTTACATTCGAGTATTATGTGGTTTAAATTATAATTGGTTATGCTATGAATTAATAAATTTTCTAACTATTTTTCAGTGTTATAGTATAGTGCATGTAATTGTTATTCGAGTAATTCCATTAACTAATATATGTATATATATAGAGTAATTGTTAATTTTTCTTGATTTGTTTCTTATCCTTTCAGTAATATCATCAATGGCGGCTGTAGAATTGATGTCACAATACTCAGAACACCTGAGTGCTTACAAACTCGCTTGTGAACAACACCCAGAGCTCAAATCCTTTGATGCCACGCTTCAGCATAAAACCAACAAAGCAATAGCCAAAATCCCCATTAAAGCCAAGCCTAAGCCAGTGTCGTCCACATACGAAGTACACAAGCATGTCTCCCAGCACGTAGTTGATGTTACCGAAAGTTTAACAAAGTTCATTACTGAAAGCGACCACGATGTGTTTCAGAGCAAAGCTCTAAGGGATTTGGTCGAGGCCTATTTCGACAACACCGAGAAGACGCTTGAGATTTTAAGGACTATAAAGAGTTGTGTCGGCGAAGCGGAATATGGAAGACTTCTCATCCAACAGGCCGTGGCAGATTTCGAGAGAGAGTCGGCAGAAAAAGATCTTGGTGGAAAAAAGAAGAGGTATGAAGAGACTTTGAAGAACCTCAAGAAGTTTAAAAAGATTGGTGATCCTTTTGATGGACAAGTGCTCACGAATCTGTTCGAGAAGCTCGACCAGCAGCAAAAAACTCTTCTGGAGGAAGTGAGTAAGGCTAAGGAAAAGATTGGTAAGGAAATTTCTAGTCTCAAGACAGAAATTTTAATCACACATGTGGTTTTTGGGGTGACGGCTGCTCTTGTTATCGTCGGGTCAATAGTTGCACTTGCATCAGGAGTGGGTGCTATTGCGGGGATTACGGCTTTATCCGGGTTTCTGATTACCGCGGGATGGCCTGCTCTCTACGCTACTTTGGATAGCAAGAGGGAAGCTCTGGAGAAAGAGTTGGCTCGTCTGGAAGAAATGGATCATAAGACGAATGACGTGGATAGGGCTTTAGAAATCAACAAAGAATCGATGAAGTCCGTAGCTAGTCAAGTCAAGGAGCTAGAAAGTTGTATCGAAAAGGTTATGCAACTTGTCGATAATGCTATTGACAATGAAGACGATGAGACGGACACTAGACTTGTCCTAAAGCTACTCACTAGTAATGTTGATGAGTTAACTGAGCAAATCAAGGAGGTTGGTGAAAGTGTGGAGAATCATAGCAAATTGATCTCAGAGGCAAGATTTCACGTTCTTGAAAAGATCAACAGTTCTTGGTAAGATTAAACGTTATCTATGTTGGTTGTTCAGTTCCCATATTTTCTATGTTCTATGTGTATTGTACTTTTTTATTTTACTTTGTAACGTTTGACCATCCGAGAGCATTGGTTAATATGTATCTCTCTATCCCGCGTTATGTATTTTTATAATTCGTGAAATAAAGTTTGAATAAAACTTGTTGGTTATATTTCATATTCATCGTTTCATGCACATATTAGATGACCCAAATATGGTATTGTAAGAGATCGATTGCTTAGACAAATCTTTGATTAATTAATTTCTCAACCAGTTCTTCCGGCTTCGCTTTCTTCATTAACAATTGAACATTATCAAAAAAATATGACAGGAATTTTCTATAAAAGATGCATCATATGATATATATGATCCTTTATTTTCTTTCATATCATTAGAACAAATTGGAAGTTCTTGCAGTGAAATTTATACACCGTTTAAATGATTTTTGAGATTTTTTAAATTAACCGGATTTTTTAATATGAATCTTATAGCTTTCTATAGATTTTTAATATGTTTTCGACAAATTTTTGAATTTGATTTCGAAAGACTTTGGCCATCTCTAACAATACATTTTATTATGTTAGATAATAATAGAACATTAACATTAAATTTTTGGTAGTAATAAAACAGTGAAATTTATACATCATTTAAATGATTTTCGAGAATTTTTTAAATTAACCGGATTTTAAATATGAATCTTATACCTTTCAATAGATTTTAGGAATTTTTTTATATTTTTTTCCTTTCTTAGAAAAATGTCTATAACCACTTAAGAGTGTGTGGCTTATATAAATAAACATGTTAGATATCTCCACATTGTTGGTTACTCACATGTATTGTATTATTGCTTCAAAAAAAAAAAACAAAACAAAACCAAACAAATATCTTTTTCTTCTTTCCAAATTTCCATTTTTGTTTCCTAAAAATCCACATCTTTATATTATAACCACACAAAAATATATAAAACAAAAATCATTGTCCACATTCTATCTTTCTATCCTAAATCGTTATCCACATTCTATCTTTCCTAAATCGTTATAGTTGTAACTAACCAAACACATGTTTCTCCTGCATGTTTGTCTCCTTTAAAAACTTGTAGATCACTTAACCTAACAAATCATTCAAACTTCAAACCTAAAATATATTGAGCAAGATTATCTGGTAACTTTCTCTATCTTTCATCACTCTAAGCTCATCTTTATCTTTTTACGTACTACGTTGCTTTGAAATATCATTATTAGGTTTTGCAATAAAAAAATTATTGCTATATTGTTTTTGTATTTCATTTTTTTTAACACTTTTTTGATACATAGAATTTTGTTTCTTTTTTGTTTTGTTTTTGTTTTGTTTGTCTTTATTTGTAAACGAAGAGTGGATGTTAACTATACTTTAATTTGGTGTGTATATATATTATATGCAAAACTATGGCATAAATTTCTATCTTTTCTTGAATTTTGTCCTTTCAGTAATATCATCAATGGCATTATCCAAAGAAACGATGTCGAAATGCTCAGGACACATGAGTGCTTACAAATCCGCTTGTAAAGAGCACTCAGACCTCAAATCCTTTGATTCTTCACTTCAACAACGAACCATCAAAGTGATAGACAAGCTCACTGCTAAAGCCGAGACTGGGACTGGGGTGTTGTCCCAACATGAAATACACATAGAAATCTCCAAGCACCAACTTGAAGTAAGCCAAGATGTGGCAAACTTCATTCTTGAAAGGGAAGGCGATGTGTGGGAGAGCAACGCTCTAAAATCTTTGGTCTTGGCATATTTTGACAATACTCATGAAACATTAAAGATTTTTGGTGACGTAATGGGATGCGTGGAAGAAGCAGAAAATGGCAAAGATTACATTCAAATAGCCGTGGACAACTTTGACAAAGAGTCGGCGAAAAAAGATGTTGGTGAAAAAAAGAAAAAGTATGAAGAAACCATAAAGTATCTAAAGAAGTTTGAAGACCTTGGAGATGTTTTCGATAGCGGCAAGCTCACGGCTCAAATCGATTTGTTAAAAAAGCAACAAGAATCTCTTTTGGAGAAACTCTGTGAAGCTAAAAATAAGCTTGATGAAGAACTGTGTGAGGCTAAAAAGAAGCTTGATGAGGTACATGAAACAAATAAATTTTGGAATGTGGTTTTCGGCGCGGGGATTGCTCTTGCTGTCGTCGCATCAATAGCTACAATGGGTATAGCCGCGGGTGTAGCAGCACCATTGCTTGCGGTGGGATGGATACGCGTCAGCCATTACTTGGAGAATAAGATTGAGGATCTGAAGAGACAGCAGGAAGATGGGAACAAACAGAGAGGTATAATAGATATGATAGAGAAGGGTACGGTAACCAACAAAGAATCGATGATGACAGTGTCTGCACTAGTCAACCTTCTAAAAACAAAGATATCGTTTATTTTAAAAGTTGTGAATGAAGCTACTGGTGATGAAGAAGATGAGGTGACAACAGAACTTGTCCTCAAAATGCTCAAGGAGAAAGTAGATAAACTGACAGAGCAAATCAAGGAGGTTGTTGAATCTGTAGATAAGCATAGCACACTGATCCTTGAGGCAAAGTATCACGTCCTCCAAAAGATCAACGGTTCTGGAAAATATCATCGCGGTTAAATGTTATAATGAATGTTTGTTGTTCAAGACTCTTTTAGTTTACTTTGTAAAGTTGACCATCCGAGATATTGGTTGATTATATGTTTATTACATAATTTAGAATAAGGTTTTTTCAAGGAATGCAATATGAACTCATAGATAATATCAATCAGGCTTCCAGTGAACAGTTATTATGAGCAAAAGCTGAATCTTGTCAAGATGAGGTGATTGAATCCACATAAGCCATAGTCGACTGTTCAAATATTAAAAAGTGCAGACGATGGATCGTGGAAAATTTTTAGAACCTACTTCAGGTCTGGGATGGTAGTGTTACCAAGGAGGGGAGCAAAGATTATTGTTGGGAACTAAATGTCAACAGCAAGTTTTTTCTTTCTACACACTGAGCTGGAGGCTTTATTATGGGTTATGGGGAATATCTTGATAAGAAGAATTGATCGCCAAGCGTTCAAAGCAGATAGTGTAGAGCTAGTTGCGATGGTGCAATCCTCAGAAGAATGACCAGCCTTCTCTAATCTCTTAGACATATTTGGAATACTTCAAAATCTCTCGTTCTTGTAATTCCAAAGCGAATGGTCTAACTCGTGCAGCCAGGCTGATTACTTTAGAAGTTACCTTCGTAAACTTTTTTCTTCGTTTTTAGGGTTCCAATTAGGATATAATTTTTTTAATGAATGTGTGATTGACAAAATCAAACTTTCATAATTAGGAATGTCAACCTTATTTAAATTTTATCATTATATAATCTTAACTCGCCTTTTTTATAAGGATCATAACTCTTTGTAGCATACAATATATTACATTAAGGGAACTAACACTACATGTACCGAGAAAAACTTTTTTTATTAACTATATGTCATTGTTCTTTTCATAATTTGTTCTGCTTTTTTTGGACAATTTTAACCATATATTCCTAAGTTAGCTGATAACTAAGTTAGTATGATAAATAAACAAATTAAATAATAATATATGAACTTATCAGATAACTATACATTATCACATAATATATGAGGTGAAAAAAAATCAAAAGTAAGAAATAGTGAAGAAATGATGAAAAAATTGAAAAAGAAAATGGTGATGTGGATGATGAAATTTCCAACAATGGTGATGATTGAAATGAAAAGAGGTGATATTGTTAGCGATGGTCGTCATTGAGATGACATCCAAAAAAGCACGACGACTAAAGTATTTCATAGTTATGACATTAGTTTCTTATGTATTCATATATCAAGGAAGTTTAAATACCGCCATAATTGTTCAATGACGTATTTGTCAAATATTTTGATGAGGTTAATCGATCAAGGTAAAAATGAGTATCACTGATAACAATGGTTAATGGCATATTCTTCTAAATGTAGTTTTTGATGTATTGATAACAGTTCAATTAGCAACATATATATTTATGTAACAACTTAAATAGATAAGAAAGAGTATGTAACTACTAAAAAAGAGTTTGTGACTTATATAAAAGAAACATGTGTTCAATATATCCAACAACAGTTCGTTACAAATACGAAGATAAGGAGATGAGATGGACCACGACGTGTCAATGGGACTCACATAGTCCACATAATCTCAATTAGTTACAATACAAAGTTAAGGACTAAATAACACATGTACAACATGATACAACATGATAACAAAATATTTTGCTAGAAATATTTTCTCCTAAACGATCAATTTCCAAATAAAAACAAGATTATAAGGATTTTGCTAGAAATATTTTCTCCTAAACGATCAGTTTCCAAATAAAAACAAGATTATAAGTATTTTGCTAGAAATGTTTTATTTTCCTCATCAATTATCTTAACATGGAGACTAAATAACACGTACAACAAGATTACAAAGTATTTTGACTATTTTCACTTCAGCAAACCAAAACATGCACTAACTGATTATACAGCTACACAAATACACACCCAAAAGAAAACAAATATGTTTTAGGGATGGGCATATGGTTTTTTTGTTTAGTTTAGATTTGGTTTTTTCAGTTTTATAAAATCTGAAACAATTTAGACACCATATATCATTTGATTTGATTATGGTTCGGTTTTACGATTAATAAATAATCAAATTATATAATGTGTCTTGTTCGGTTTTTACGGTTTTATTTTGGTCTGATATTGGTTTTCAGCAAAAATGAAATAAGTTTGCTAAACGAATAGAACACAAAGAATAAATTTCAAATAAGGTTGATAATATAAATAACAATTAATAGAGTTTTATGCTAAATTATGTATAGTAGAACAATAATTTATTTCTATGCAAATTGCCATTTTTCCTCATCTCATTTTTCTCTATCCCATTTAACTAAAAACCACGTTTGTATATCATCACCACACAACAGTTAGTTACTCACATAACATTGCCATCTGTATTTTTACTTCAAAAATCCAAAAAACAAAACAAAAACAAATTGCCATCTTATAAACCACACAAAAACACATACAACAAAACTCGTTGTCCACATTGTATCTTTCATTCTTTCACCACTATTGATATAGAGACAATTATGGTTGTTATAGACTTATAGTTGTAACTAACCAAACACATGTTCCTCCTGCATGTTTTGTCTCCTATAAAAACTTGTAGATCACTTAACCTAACAAATCATTCAAACTTCAGACCTACAGTACATGCATTGAGCAAAGATTATCTAGTAACTTTCTCTATCTTTCATCACTCTAGCTCTTCTTCATCTGTTTACGTACTACCTTGACTTCGAAATATTATTAGGTTTAGCAGTTAAATATTATTTCTATATTGTTTTAATACTTTTTTTTGATACATAGAATTTTTTTTTGTTTCTTTGTCTTTATTAGTAAACGTAGAGTGGTTATTTAACTTGTACTTTAAATTGGGAAGCTAAGCAAAACTATGGCCTAAATCTCTCTATACCTTTTTCTTTGAATTTTGTCCTTTCAGTAATATCATCAATGGCATTATCCGAAGAAACGATGTCGAAATACTCAGGACACTTGATTGCTTACAAATCTGCTTGTGAAGAACACCCAGAGCTCAAATCCTTTGATAACACGCTTCAGCAGCGAACCATCAAAGTGATAGACAAGCTCACTGCTGGAGCCGAGACTGGGACTGGGGTGTTGTCTCTACACGACATACACATAGAAATCTCCAAGCACCAACTTGAAGTTAGCCAAGATGTGGCAAACCTTATTCTTCAATGGGAAGGCGATCTGTGGGAGAACAATGCTCTAAAATCTTTGGTCTTGGCCTATTTTGATAATATCAAGGAGACATTAAAGATTTTCGGCGACGTAATGGATTGCGTGGAGAAAGCAGAAGAGGGCAAAGATTACATTGAAATAGCCGTGGAAAACTTTGACAAAGAGTCGGCAGAAAATGATGTTGGCGAAAAAAAGAAGAGGTATGAAGAAACTTTGAAGTATCTAAAGAAGTTTGAAGCCCTTGGAGATCCTTTCGATGGCCACAAGCTTACAGCTCAGTTTGATTTAGTCCAAGAGCATCAAAAATCCCTTCTCTTACAAGTGAGTGAGTCTAAGAAAAAGATTGATGAAGAACAAACAAACATTGATAAGGAGAAAAAAGATGTTGGAGGGAAAATCGAGGCGTCGAAAGGAGAAAAACTATGGGGTGCGCTTATGAGCGTTGCTGCGGTATCTGCTATTTTCATCGGGCCAATAGGTCTAATTGCATCAGGCGTGGCTACGTCTGTAGGCGTTAAGGTACCTTTATTTCTACCAGAAGGATGGCTAAGCGTCGACAGTTTCTTGAAGAAACGGCTGGATGCTTTGAATAAACAGCAAGAAGCTCTAAACAAACTGAAAGAAGTGTCACCATTGGTGGACAAGGGTGTTGTAACTAACAAAGAATCGATTAGTAGCGTAGCGCAACTAATCGACAATCTAGAGAAAAAAATCAGTGCTCTTTCGGGAAAAGTTGATGACGCTATTGAGGCTGATGGAAATGAGGTGGCCACGAAAGTTCACCTCCGGTCAATCAGAGAAAAAGTGGTTATACTAACAGACAAACTCAAGGAGCTTGGTGAAACTGTGGAGAAGCATGACAAACTCATCAGTGAGGCGAAATTTAACGTTCTTGAAAAGATCAACAGTTCTGGAAAATATCATCGCGGTTGAACGTTATGGATGTTTATTGTTCATCAAGAGTCTATGTTTTATGTTTTTTATGTTTCCTATGTTTTCTATGTTTTAAGCACTGTATTGTACTTTTTTTTATTTAACGTTTAACCATCCGAGAGGATTGGTTGATATGTACCTTTCTATCCTATATGTATTTTATAATTCGTCAAATAAAATTTGAAAAAAAATTGTTGTGTTTTTTTTTTCTCAGATCATATTTTCCCAAATTATATGACCCAATTTTTTTTTTTTGATTTCTAGATAAAACCACTTTTGCCTTTCGACCATCATTGAAATAAAATGACATAAACAAAATTAACTAAACCAGTAAAAGTAAAGTGATTTCTTGTTTTATAAAAGTTTTTTGAATCAAATCTGAACTTTTTTGACACTCTATCTTGTCACAAGAATTCAAGTTTTAAGATTAATAGCTTCGTCTTTCGTACAAAGACAAATATATCCATGTCTGGTAAGTTTGATTTTACAAATGTTCTCATTTCAAGTACAGTAAATTTTTATAAATTAATACTCGATAAATTAATAAATACTACAATATATAAAAAATAAAGATTATGAAAAAATTTAAAATTTAAAAATGTAATATATTAAAAACCTAAAAACTAAAATTTAAAAGAAATTAGTCTAAAAATGTAAATATCATTTCATGAAATGAAAGTTATATATTGCATCAAGTAATTCCTAGATACATGGTTCTATGCCAAAGAAAACCGGAGAAACAGACTCTCCTAAAGAAACAAGGCAAGAAACTGTTGTGACTTTTGTAAAAGAATTTAGTTCATAAAAGTATATGACTTCTGTAAAAAAATTTAGTCATCAAATCCGTCATCATTAGTAATTAACTTCTTAATTTGGGTTAATCTAAATGTTTCTCCTTCAAAATTAAATTTTGATCAGTCATGGGATCTGTTTATGTGCTGTCAAAAACACCAATTTTTTCCTATAAGTTTTATAAATGTTTTGGTCATATTTTCTAAAAGCAACAAAAATAAATGGACCCCAAGATTCTATGGTCCCTCTTGCAATGCTTTAGTTTCTTTTGAATTTTGGAATTTTGGAAACGTTCATAATTTTGTGAGGCTAGAGGATTAGTTAGCCACATAAAAGAGCTGATTCTCAATAACTCAAAATCAATTCAACGTCCGTGTAAGCCACGACTCTAGCTTCTCTCTTCTTCTCGAACTTTGTTAGATGAGGAAAAAGTTAATATCTATGAACGTTACCACATGATATGCATTGATATTTTATTTCAGTTACTTTTTCGATAGGGTTGAATACAATTACTCTTAAGGTAAGGGAAAGAACTACAATTACTGTGATATTTTGGAAAAATAGTAGCACAGTAAATTTAGAAAGAAAAAAAACTCATTTATTAATAATTTTGAGTATTGCCCAAAAAAGAAACTTTTTTCAGAATTGGGTCTAATAATTTTTTTGTCCAAGCGACATCATACTACGTCTCACTTCACTTTACCATTCATAAGAAAAAAAAATTATATATCGCAAAGCAAAAATAACATTGTTGTGTGCTCAAAGTTTTAACTTAAGGGTCAAATCTATTAGAGTATTGCAAGTACACTAAAAATTAGAGGATTATAGCTAAGACAACAATATAAATCTCTCCTTTGCAAATTGCCATGTGTTGTTTCATCATCTCAATTTTTTCCCATAAAACAAAAATCGTTATCAACATTTCTATCATTATTTCATGACTATTGATATATAGACATTTATTGTGGTTATAATTTATAACTAACCAAACAAAAATCTTTGTAACTAACCAAAACACGTGTTCCTCCTGCATGATTGTCTCCTATAAATACTTGTAGATCACTTAACCTAAAACAAATCATTCAAACTTCACAAACCAAGAATATATCTCCTCTTTAATTCTAATTTCTGGTAATAGTTCTTTCTTTGAAGAATTATTAGATTTTGCTCATATTTATTGTTTTCATATATCTGAAAATTGGAAAACTCTGCTCTAAATCTCTTGCTTGTGTTTTTTTCCCTTTCAGTAATATCATCAATGGCATTATCTGAAGAAACGATGTCAAAATGCTCAGGACACATGAGTGCTTACAAATCTGCTTGTGAAGAACATCCAGACCTCAAATCCTTTGATTCCTCGCTTCAGCAGAGAACCATCAAAGTGATAGAGTCACTCACCACTGGAGCCGACACTGGGTCGTTGTCCCAACACTCAATACACATGGAGGTCTCTCAGCACCTACTTGAAGTTAGCCAAGGTGTGGCAAACTTCATTCTTGAAAGCGAAAACGATGTGTGGAAGAACAAAGCTCTAAAATCTTTGGTCCAGGCCTATTTTGAAAATACCATCAAGACTATAGATATTTTCGACAACATACGGGATTTCGTGGGGAAAGCGGAAATGGGCCAACTTTATATTCAAGAGGCCATGGCAGAGTTTGACAAAGAGTCGCCAGAAAAGGATGCTGGTGGAAGAAAGAAGAGGTATGAAAAAACCTTGAAGGATCTCAAGAAGTTTGATGACATTAAAGATGTTTTTGATGGCCAAGTGATCACAAACCAGTTCGAGTTGATCCAAAAGCAGCAGGAATCTCTTCTTGAGAAATTGTGTGAGGAGGCTAAAAAAAAGATTGATGAGAAACAAAGTGATGAGGCTGAAAAAGAGCTTGACGAGGCACACCACAGGAGTAAATTTTGGAACGTGGTTTTCGGCGCTGGGATTGCTCTTGCTGCCGTCGCATCACTAGCTGTAATGGCTGTAGCCGTGGGTGTGGCTGCGCCCTTTGCGGTTCTAGCAGTACCATTGCTTGCGTTGGGATGGGTAGGAGTCCATCATTCTTTGGAGAAAAAGGTTAATGATCTGAAGAGACATGAGGAAGATGGGAAGAAACAGGAAGGCATAACAGATTCGCCGGACAAGGGTGTGGAAAGCAACAAAGAAGCATTGAACACTGTACCCAAACTAGTCCACCAGCTAGAGAAAAAGATCAAGTCTATTTTGGAAGTTGTTGGTGATGCTATTGAGGATGAAGTAGATGAGAAGGAGATAAAACTTCAACTCAGCTTGATCGGGAAGGAAGTGGAGAAATTAACAAAGGAAATCAAGGAGGTTGGTGAAACTGTGGATAAGCAAAAGAAATTGATCCATGAGGCGAGATTTCACGTTCTCAAAAAGATCAATGTTTAAAAACTTTTATCAAAGTTTCTTATTTAAGAGTTGGTTCCCATAAATTTCTATGTTTTCGACTTTTCGTAATTGGTATTAGGGTTTACAGCCCATTGTACCTTTTTTTAAAAATCTTGTATGTATTTATAATTCGTGAAATAAAGTTATTCGTGAAATATGGACTTACCCTGCAGACGAGCGCTACTGCAGTAAGTTGAGAGAGATATCCGTTCAAGCGGCGAAGTCTCTCCTCGCCGCCAATTGCAAAACCTAATGTCCCCCACATATGTCAAACTGATTTCACTTAGCTTCCTCTCAATCTTTAATAGATAAAGGCTATGTAGTTGCAGATGAATCAATAAGACGTATTTCACTAAAGAATTCTTAAAGAAACACGAGAAGTCTATACACAATTATGCTTGACAAAGACAATGTAACATAAGAAAACAGAACATAGAATTTGATATATGACCTAATGCATTGGAAGGAGAAATCTGAATCTTGACACCACAATTCTACGATTTTTTTTGTTTTCTGATCGTGAAGTTTTGCTTTGAGTGTTGTGTTTGCGTGTTTTTGTTTTAACTATTTGAATACTGTTCTCTACACGTGAAGTTTTTATGTTTGAGGTTTGTATTGTATTTACTCGTGGTTATCTTTATGTTTGGTGGTTCGTGGTGTTTTAGTGTACTTTGTATTTTCCATGGGACTAATTATGCATGAAGTTAGAGATTTGAGAAAGTACTTCACCTGAGCCCTTCTCTTGATTTCACCTAGCAATAGTTCTGAGAAGAGAAGATGAGCCTAGATTAAGAACATACCAAAACCTCAAACTAATCAGAAAAATAACTCATTGAAAATCTTATGGAGACTACTAGCTAATCCGATAGAAGCTTTGGCCGCAGCTACAAAATACCCTGTATCAGTTCAATTATCTGCAGAGAATCATATCGCTGCACGCAAAATACCACTTGAGAAATCACTAAGCATGAGTAGTAAATTCTAGAAAATCTTACTTTGCCTTTGTTTGTTGAGCTTGCTGATGAGAGTTATGTCACTTCCCCATTTCAAGCCCATCTTCGTTCAATCTTTGGCTCTTTGCTATGAAATTTCATCTCCAGTTTTGGTTTTGCTCCTCAAAGATCCATTCTCTTGATTTCAATTAGCAAGACTTCTGCGGAGAATGAACTTAGTTAAGAACTACAAAACCACAAACTATGCAGAAAATTAAAGTTATGAAAATTTTACATCATCTAGTCTGAGTGGAGTTTTGGCCACTTTCCCAAAAACTCTTTGCAGTTAAATTTGAATCAAAGGCTTTTTCCAAAATACAAAAACCAGGACCGATCTTAACCAATCTTCCCATTAACATAATTGGTTCAATACTATGCATCTCCAAATCTGATTTCAATCTAACAAACAAGTAGTACCTTCAAAAGATACCCGAGAAAAATGTAGATTTTCAGAAGTCCAACCATAGCTTGCAAAGCCATTTTTTTCCTAGTCCTCTGCCAAATCATAGAGACAACCAATAGTAAGAACATGATAGAGCGCGAAGATACCAGAAGAGTAAGAATTTATTCAACAAAAAAAAGTTGAAAATTAAAAGATAGATAACCTTGTTCTGGTGCTTAATGAAATATAGACAAAGAAGATCGTGGAGTAAGACCGACAACTGGATATATAGTGCTGCTGTAAATGGTATTGAAGTGAAGACTATTACACACCTAGTTATCTAACAGTGTAGAGAAAAAATGTAAGAGTGGAGATAAAGATATGGTAGATAGCAGTTAAGAATCTGCGTCAATCTAGTACCTACAGATTATATACTCAACCTATTGCATTATTCTGGTTTTGTGCACACCTTGTCTTAATAAGTTTATGTCATAATTTGATTCCTGCCAAGGTAGAATTCGAATATAAAAACATTCAAAACAAACTTCAAACATGACGTTTTGAACAATGTTACTATGACAACTACAACTATAAGATTATACAAATATAAATAAGAGTATATGCAGTGTTGAATGCCATACTAAACTGAAGGAATTAGACAATGTAACGTGTGAAAACAGAATGTAAAAGTAAGGCATAATTTTAGTGGGTGTAAATAAAACAGAGCAACATGGTAAGCTCAAGGACTTACCCTGCAGACGAACCTTGCTGCAGCTAAGTCTCCCCTCACTGTCAATAGCAAAAACTAATATCCTGCACACACGTTAAACTGATTTCACTTTGGACACAAAAAGTGAAATTTAAAGCAGCTTGATCATAACTTAGCTTCCTTTCAATCTTTAATAGATAAAGCTACGTAGTTGCAGATGAATCAATAAGATCAATGTACAATAAGATCATACCTGACACTCTATATTACTTTCGCTGTAGGCTTGTTTTGCGCTAATGCTTTCGAAGGAGAAATATGAACCTTGACACCACAATTCTACGAATTTTGTTTTACTGATCGTGAAGGTTTTGTTTTGAGTGTTGTGTATGCGTGTTTTTGTTTTGCCTATTTGAAATATGTTCTCTACACGTGAGGTTTTTGTGTTTGAGGTATGTAAATTTTTTGTTATGACTGTTGGAGTTCGTTGTCTTATTGTTTGTTTGGTTCGTGGTGTTTTTTGTTTGGTTGGTTGGTATACATGTGTTTGTTTTCTTTTGCCTATTTGAATAATGTTCTCTACGTGTGTTTGTATTGTTTTAGTTTCGTGGTGTCTTAGTGTACTTGTAGTTTCCGTGGGACTAATTATGTATGAAGTTAAGAGATTTGAGAAATGAGAGAAAGTACTTTACTTGAGCCCTTCTTTGTTTTCTGACTACAAAGTCGTTTGCAGTTCAAAGATCCTTTTCTCTTGATTTCACCTAGCAATAGTTCTGAGAAGAGAAAATGAGACTCGATTAAGACCGCTGCTGCAAAACCTCAAACTAATCAGAAAAACAACTCATTGAAAATCTTACAGAGAGTACTAATACCTGCAATTTAAGTTCATATATCTGCAGAGAATCAATTTGTATACGAGATCAGCATGAGGATAATAACAAAAGTAAAGATCAATTTGTATACAAGATCAGTGTTGCAAAAGTGAGGACCATTGTAGCTATTAGTTTCCCAGGGTAGAGAAAAAATGTAACAGAGATAAATAGTTACGAATCTAAATGCCGATCTAGTACCTATAAACACTTAACTCAAGCTGCTACACTGTTCTGGCCTTATGTAGTCAGTTCAGAGAGATATGTTCTGAACTCCTCAATTCGAATTGATATGCACATAGCTACACTGTTCTTTCATGTAGATAATCACAGACCCTGTGCTTGATTCCTTTCATCACATACTTTGGATCGCTTTGTGCAGATAACACTACAAGAATCACTCATCATGTCAAAGATCAGAGCTTTCTCTTAGAAAATATTAAAAGCTCAATGAAATCAAACAGAACTACGACTGGGAATGCTTCATATATACTCTATGACATTGCAGTTACTTAAAATCTTACATCATCTAGTCCGATTGTAGTATTGGCCACATTGTCAAAAACTCATTGCAGTTAAATTTTAAAACCCGCAGCTCTCTCTTGAAACTACATGAAAGAAAATTTATCAGTTGTTCAAACAAAACATGTTATATGTGAAAACATACCGTGTATCTTGTAATATCTGAAAACATGTTAAAAAGAGTGATCTTAGCCACCTTATCATTGAATTCGAACCCAAGCAAAAGAGTGCATTGGCCAAAAGCCAAAACCAGTGCCTAGAAATAAAAAAGAACACACATAAAGACTAACTGATTTCCTAATTTCTCAGATACCTTCAGAAGATGTAGATACAACTTTTACCTGTAGCGTTCATATATGTCAGAGATAGAGCGCATACAAAAATAGTTCAATTCACAGAAATTTAAACATCATATAGAAGAAAGAGAACCTCAACATCCATGACAATTGAACTCTCCAAAAGAAGATTCGAAATCGATGTTGTTCTCTGCAACTTAAAACAATGAACGATCATGACCAATCTTCCCAATAACATAATTGATTTCAATCGAACAAAGATAAACCCTAAATTAGAAAGCGTTGCTCTAAGTTTTATCAATCCACGATTCGCAAGGGTTCTAACGCGTAACCCAACAAAAATTATAAATCATATTCAAAGTTAAAACCTAATTAGAAACCGTTGCTCTAAGAAGTAATCATCACAAACTCAAAAATCGATCAATTCGATTTCAAAAATCGATCATCTGGTCTGATTTTAATGCATAAATTAAACCCCAAAAAAACTCATTGAAATTTAAAGAGAAGAAGAGGAAACTCGTAAGATTATCTTCAAAAATCGAAAAGGATGAGTAGAGATTTACCTTAAGAGTACTTTGACAGAGATGATCAAACTCCAGAAAACAGAGACGATGAACGAAGAAGGACGTTGAGGGAGAGAGAGAGGAGAAATTCAAAATAAATAATGATTTACTCCATAGTTCACACTTTAATCACAACTTCAAAAATCGATCATCTGCTCTGATTTTAATACATAAATTGAACAAAAACTCTAATTAGAAAGCGTTCCTCTAAGTTTATCCACGATTCGCAAGGGTTCTAACGCGTAACCCAACAAAAATTATAAATCAATTTCAAACTTAAACCCTAATTAGAAAGCGTTGCTCTATATGATCATCGCAAATTCAAAATCGATCAATTCAATTTCAAAAATCGATCATCTGGTCTGATTTTAATGCATAACTTGAAAAAAAAAACTCACTGAAATTGAGAGAGAAGAAGAGGAAACTCGTGAGATTATCTTCAAAAATCGAAAAGGATGAGTAGAGATTTACCTTAAGAGTACTTTGACAGAGATGATCAAACTCCCAGAAAACAGAGTAGATGAACGACGAAGAACGTTGAGAGAGAGAGAGAGAGAGAGGAAAAAAAAAATTCCAAAATAAAATAAAGATTTACTCAATAGTTTACACTTTAATTAAGTTGAATTTTCTAACCGTTAAGCAAAGAGAATCTAACGGACCAAAACAAAATTGAAAATTTTAACGGACCAAAACAAAATTGAAAATTTTAACGGACCAAAATAATGGAACTATTAAAATCTAACGGACTAATAAATACTGATTCATTGGTCTGATCATGCGCAAAACAATATCTAAACTAAGATTTAATACCATAATTTTACACTTAAATTACAAAGTTGAATTTTTCTAACCGTTATAAATCTCAATGGTCGGTTCGGTTCGGTTCGGTTTGATGTTCTGAAATGATTACAAGTTTTTTTTGTATTCGGCACGTGGGCGGCGATGTTGAGTTAACCATAGTTAAGATTTTCGTGGAATATAAGTGACATGTTAATCATAAAGATATAGTATCTTCTTAGCCAAGGCATCATCACATTAATTTATAGGTAAGCCCTTTGAACCAAAAAAAAAATATATATATGCAATTTTTGATCAGCTGACTCATGAGTTTGGTATTTCTCACACTCGGCCAGGCATTTCCAAAAAAGAATATACACTAAATAGTTAAATTCTGGTATGAAACTGGTCAAATGAGCGTCAGTGTAGCGGCCAAAAAAATTCCCGCCAAAATTTATCGGCCAGGCATCCTCTCTTTTCTATGGTTATTTCAATTTTGTCCATTACCATTTTTCTTTTTTTTTTTTTTTCTTTTTTGAACCACCACTATCATCAAATATTGTACATATTCTTGCTTTTGTATCGTTGTCGTCGTTGACGATGTTATCACCACCATAATTTCCTTTACTTTCTCTGAGAAACCATTCACTGTTAGTTTATTCACTAATAACAAATACGATGTTGCATAGGTTTTGTCTTTAAGGGTAGTTTTGATAAAAAAGCTAATTTCTTAAAATTTTGAATCAAAGGCTATTTTCTTAATTTTTTTTTTTGGTCAACGATTTTCTTAATTTTTTTGAGTTAAAGGTTAGTTACTAATATTACCCTCTCCAAAAATGAGTTCATATAAGGTTAACTCTTCGATCATTTGTTTTTCCCCATACTACCAAATACAAAAAAAAATAACTTAAAAGTGAATATCTAGGATGAATAATACAGAATAGTATTAGACATGGTTTTCTTGTTTTAGGCGAAGAGGAAGAATAAGGATAAACTTTGTTTTGGTGGTTTAAAAAAGGCCAAAAATAGTTTGTAGGAAAATGGAGAAAGCAACTGAGTAGAACGGGAAAAATGCAGCAACCCAAGTTGTATTATTCATATGATTTTTTTTTTGTCAACTATTATTCATATGATTTGAAAGAAAGAAATCTCTATCTCTCTCTCTTTCCTAAATCTGATTTTTCACTTATTCTATATTTTAACCCAAAAATAAGTTAACTGCATAAATAAAATCAAATGTAAACTAAAACGTGATTCCATATTTTCCCACCAAAACTGTGATTCCATATTTTCTCGTTAAAAACGTAAATTTTTCCCAGTCAAAAATGGGATTCTATATTTTCCCGCCAAAAACGGGATTCCATATTTTCTCGCCAAAAACGGGATTCCATATTTTACTGCCAAAAATGAGATTCCATGTTTTCCCGCCAAAATTTATCCGCCAAAAACGTGATTTCATTTTTCCCGCTAAAACGTCGTTTTGTAGTTTTCCGCCAAAATGTGATATTATATTGTTATCAATAGTAAATTTTGATAATAAATTGATAATATCTAATAATATTATTTATTATTTTATTATTTTGAGACAACCCATTTAACCATTAAAATCATCAAATAATTTGGTTAATGAAATGATCCAAACCATTTGTTAACTGGTTTGGATCAACTCATAAATCATTTAAGTCTAAACTCATTGGATTATGAGTTGGTTTGGGTTGGTTTATCCAGTTTGAGACTCCTATGTATAGGCAAACCAAAAAAAATATTTGAATTTGAATTTGTTTTTTTTTCTTTTCTCACCATCTTCTCTGTGCAAATTACTATATTTGTAACCACTTAAGAGTTTGTGGCTTACATAAAAAAACATGTGTTAAATATTTCCAACAGTTAGTTACTCACAAGTATTTAATTTTGCTTCAAAAAGAAACAAACAAACAAAAACATATTTTTCTTATCTACAAATTGCCATTTGTGTTTCCTAAAATCCACATCTTTATATCATAATTCATAACCACATAAAACACACGAAACAAAACTCGTTGTCCCCATTTCTTTCATTCTATCAACATTGTCTCTTTCACTCTTATAGTTGTAACAGCTAACCAATCACGTGTTATTCCTGCATGTGAATAATTTTTGCGTTCTTCGTATTTTCTATTTACTATAACAGTTTTTTTTTTCTCATGATTTTTTACAATTACAAGTAACCAAACTTTGTTAATTTTCTTCTTTGTACTTACTATTATAAAAGTGACTAATCAGAAAATATTCTAATATTTGTAAAAAGTTTAGAAATTAAGATTTCAAAACTAGTATTATTATGTTTTTAATCATTGTACCTTTTTATTTTACTTTGTAACGTTTAATCATCCGAGAGGATTGGTTGTTATGTACTTCTATCCCGTATGTATTTATAATTCGTAAATAAAGTGCGTGGCATACGGATAATGGATGGGTTTAGTGAGTAATCCATGTATTTAGCATTTAATCTAGGTCATTACAATTGGAATCTTATAAATATATTAATAAATGAATGTATGAAGCATTGTAAATTACGTTGACATAACACACGCATATGCATATACATAAAACTTGCATATAAAACAAAAGCAAGTTAGGTTCTAGGAATCCAGCAATTTAGAATAGTCCAACGAATACATGACTTCAAGTGTTATTCTACTTATTTCAAGATCTACTATACTTATTGACTAAAATAACATGCAAGTATTCTCCTCGTTCGTAAGTTGTACATAACCTCGTTACTATAGTTATTGACTAAAATAACATGCAAGTATTCTTCGTACATAACCTTTTTAAATATATATTGTTATTGACTAATATAACATGCAAGTATTCTTCATACATAACTCTGCCCGACAGTTTAAGCAGAGAACTAACTAATGTTAAGTCCTAGCTAGGAATCCAACAATTTAAAATATGGGTTAATAATAGTCCAAAGAGCACATGGCTTCATGTGTTTTTCTACTTATTTCAAGATCTATTATAGTTATTGACTAAAATAACATGCAAGTATTCTCCTCGTACATAGCCTTGTTAATATAGTTATTGACTACAACAAGTCAATAACATGTAAATATTCTCCTCGTACATAATAACCTTGTTAATATAGTTAATGACTACGATAAGTCAATAACATGTAAATATTCTCCTCGTACATAACCTTGTTAATATAGTTATTGACTACATAAAGAGTTGTTAATTAGCCCATCATCAGCTTATCAATTTTTATGAATTCAAACTTTCTTTCTAAACTCGTATAATATTTAAAATCATAAGATTATACTATTGAATTTTAAAGAACTATGAGCTAACTTACTAAGTAAGCCTTTTCAAACACTTAAAATGTAATTTTTAATATGTTATAGATATATATACTTAAATTGTAAAATTAATTAAAACATATGTTAAATATTTTGCTTTTGACAAAGAGTCATTCTCAAAAATACTATTATAAGATGAGCTTTTGTTCCAAATAAAAAAATAAAAAAAAAATACAACTACAAATGTTTTGTTTTAAAAAAATAATACTAAATAATAAGTTTTCGGAAAATTTCAGAAAGGTAAATCTAAAGTTTAAACCTTGAAAACTAAAACCTAAACCCAGTCCTAAAATTTTAAATTATAAAACCATAAAAAATCGTTTTAGTGTTGGTGGAACTTTTGGACCTAAAAGATTTGTAATCATATTTTTGAGAGAAACAAAACCTAGTAATTAATATGATGTTTTTGTAACAAAAATTTGTTTTAAGTGTAAGATGTTAAACTTATGCATCGTTCATTTAGTATCTTCATCTCTGCTTGAACATGTAATTTCGTACGTTTTTTTTTTTTTTTTTAATTTCATAAGGTTGAATACTTATATATGAACAAGTCCAAATTCCCGAAAAACATCTACATGGCTAACATGTGATTTATAAAGAGATGTTGTGCAATTGTACATATGTAATAATTAGTCATAAATGTATAATGTTTGCAACCATATACATTGAATATATTCACCAATATGTTTTTACAAATTTATAGATGCATCTTATTCCTAACATGCTCGTCACACAACGAACATGTAGCATGCAAAACCAATGAAAATTATACTAGTGAACTTCGTATATGTGTGTTTTCATTGCTACCCAAATTTGTGTTTTACTAATTGGAGTTAGCCAATACTTTTATGTAAGACGATCCCATTGTCTAATATTTTTGGTATGGTACTTCATATTCCAATAGGAATTAACATTGTTGCCTCACATTTATTTAGTTGACTTTTATTTATTGATTTGAGGCTATAGTTGTAACAAACCAAACACATGTACATCGATCTGTTTTCTCCTATAAATACTTGTAGATCAGTAACTTATCAAATCATATTCAAACTTCAAACACATAATATATTGATCAAAGAAAGGGAAGCTCTATATCCTCCCTATTCTGATCCAGTTTCTGGTAATATTCTATCTCTCTTCAACTCTTGCTTGTTTTATCTAATCTATCTATATATGTGTATGCAAAAATTTATCCTAAATTGCTCTACATTTTCTTGACATTTTTTTGCTTTCAGTATTGATGGCATTATCCGAAGATACGTTGTCGAAATGCTCAGAACACATGAGTGCTTACAAATCCGCTTGTGAAGACCACCCAGAACTCAAAGCCTTTGATTCTTCGCTTCAGCATAAAAGCATCAAAATGATAGACTCACTTAGCCCGGACCCCAAGACTGGATTGTTGTCCCAACATGCCGTACACATGGAGATCTCCAAGAACCTACTAGAAGTTAGCCAAGGTGTGGCAAACTTCATTCTTGAAGGCGAAAACGATGTGTGGGAGAACAAAGCTCTAAGATCTTTGGTCCAAGCCTATTTCGACAATACTATCAAGACTTTAGAGATTTTCGATAATGTAATGGATTACGTGGAGAAAGCAGAAATGGGCCAACTTTACATTCAAGAAGCCGTGGCGCAGTTTGACAAAGAGTCGGCAGAAAAGGATCTTGGTGGAAAAAAGAAGAGGTATGAAAAAACCTTGAAGAATCTGAACAAGTTCAAAGCCATGGGAGATACTTTCGATGGCGGCGAGCTCATGATTCAGTTCGACTTGATCAAAAAGCAGCAAGAATCCCTTCTTCAGGATGTGAGTGAAGCTAAAACAAAGCTTCATGAGGAATATGATAACCTAAAAGCAGGGAGTATGATTTCAAATGTGGTTTTCGGCGCTGCATTTTTCGGTACTTTGATTGTCTCGGTAGGTCTACTGATAACAGGCGTGGGTATACCTTTTGCCATTGCGGGGTTTCTATCGTTACCAGTGATGGCGGTGGGATGGTCAGTCACCCACTTTCTCTTGGAGAAACGGATGGATGAACTGAAGAAACTGGAAGAAACTCTGACGAAAGTGCAAGGAGTATCATCACTAGTGGGTATTGGCATAGAAACCAACAAAGAAGCGATGAAGAGTGTATCTGAAATAGCCCACCAGCTAGAGAAAAAGATCGCGTCCATTATGAAATATGTGGATGATGTGATTGAGAATGAAGGAGATGAGGTGGATATGAAACTTGCCCTTCACTTAATCAGGGAGAAAGTAATGAAACTAACAGAGAAAATCAAGGAGGTTGGTGAAACTGTGGCTAGTCATAGCAAACTAATCCTTGAGGCGAGATTTCACGTTCTCGAAAAGATCAACGGTTCTGGAAAATATCATCGTGGTTAAACGTTATTGATATTTGTTGTTCATGAGTCACTCATGAGTTCCCATATTTTCTATGTTTCAATAATTGGGTTTACAAACCCATATTGCACCTTTCTATTTTGCTTTGTAACGTGAACCATCCGAGAAGATTGGTTGATTTGTACCTTTTTATTTTATTTTGTAATGTTGACCATCTGAGAAGATCGGTTGATAAATTCCTCGTATTAGTTTTCGTGAAATAATGTTGTTATATTGGTTTTACATATTCATCTTCACAAATTAAATGACCAAAACACTTTACTCTCGTTATAAAACAACTCTTTCCTCAGATTGTTCTATCCTCATTTTGGGAAAAACAGAATATTCATACCCCAACTCAAAAAGTATGTTCAGTTCATACCTTAAAAACTCTATCTACGTGCAAATAAATACCTAAACTAATTATATACTCAAATTCACTATCTCGTGTTATTGTTTCGCGCATGAACATACATATTACAAGACCTAGTTAAGATCATGTTTACCGTAGCTGACATGGAGGCCACATTATTAACGACATGTTTAAGCTTTAATCCAGTTCTCTAAAATTAAATATCTAAAATTAAATGACGTCGTTTTTCTCCGAATATAAAAACGTCCACAATGGCATCATCAGCTTCTTCTATTTATGTTATGAATTGAACTATTTATGAAACTTTGAGAAAATTCTTAACCAACAACAACAAATGAAATACTTAAACTTCAAGAAACATTTTTAATCATTCTAAAAAGTTAAGAGAGACACTACAAAAACATATACTAATAAATCACCAAATCACTAGAAGCCATAGCCGTGAATTCTCTCTTAAACATATCCTGCAAATTTATGATATAAAAAAACAAAACAAAGTAAGCTTATTACCAAACCAACGAAATTCTGTTTTTTCCCCTCATTTTGATTCTATACTCATGATTTGATTGCTTAGATTTGATTAATGCACTTTCTCTTTAATTACATGTTCTTTCTACATGTTATCCATAGCTTAATTTTTCTCGCGCACAGGATACAAAAAAAACATGCATTTTGCTAATATATATATGAGTACTTTACTGCATGAAAGCGAAAGCGATTACATATTACAGAGAAAAATGGTCACTAATTTACAACGCGATAAAATTGTTGGAAAAATGTCGGTAATTTGCGTATAAAAGTCGCAAATTGAGAATTTATCAATGACCTCTTTTTGAGTAATTGTAGTAACAACATAGCCTCAAATTTACGACTTTAAACTCTCTTTATAGTTTTTTTTTTGCAAATTAGATCAGTAGGTAAAGTTGGTAACAACGTGGAAAATATTGTAATATAAGTTTGTAGATTGCAGGAAACATTTGATGACAATCTATATACACTTGAAGTTGATTGTTGAGTATTAGTGAACAAAGAACAAGACAAAAGAAAGAAACTTGAAGATCAAGTAGTGCCAGCTCAGCATAATGACTCATGGTGTTTATATAGCTGTTTTGTTTGGCTTGTAAAAGCAAAAGCAAAACGTACGTATGTCTTCTTATGCACCTGCAATTGAAGGCAAGAAAAGCTTGACTGTGAAAAACGCCAAGGAAGAGGCTGCTTCGCAGAAGGTCACCAAGGAGTCTAGGTTAAAGAGCTAGCATCTATTTAAAGGCAGTGTATGTGTGAGGGAGAGGAGTTAAGGTGAAAAGAAGTGAGAACAAAAACAGAGAGTAAACTTGTGTTTTGTGTTCTTGGGAAACAGAGAGTGTTTGTGAGAGATTGAATCTAGAGAGCTTTGAAAGGGGCTTTAAGGGTGAGAGATCTCTTTGTAAATTCTGTGAATAGTGGATTCCGGGAGACAGATCCCGGCCCAGACGTAGCGTCGGTTTGACGTGAACTGGGTTAACAATCTCTTGTGTGCTCTGCTTGTGATTCTCTGTTTGTTGTTTCTTTGATCTATTGGTGTTGTTTGTGGTGTTGGTTGAAGTTTCATTTCAGGTTTTCAAGCTCAGTTTTCTGCAAAGGTCCTTGGTTTGTGTTCATTCAAGCTAAAGTTGGAAGCTTTAGCCTCTGTTTGCTTCACAAAGTGGTATCAGAGCTTAGGTTACGTTGTTTGGTGGTTCTGTAAGGTCTACTCAAGCATTGTGGAGCCATGTCAGCAAGGATTGAGGTGGAGAAGTTTGATGGACGTGGGGACTATACATTGTGGAAAGAGAAGCTAATGGCTCATTTGGATATTTTGGGTCTAACGGTGGCTCTCTCTGAAACAAAGATTACAGTCCCAGATTCTGAAGGAAAAGAAACTGATAAAGCTAGCTCCCATGAGAAAGAAACCAAAGACAAAGAAGCTACTGAAAAAGATGAAATCTTGGAAGAGAAGAGAAGAAAGGCAAGGAGCACCATAGTGCTGAGTGTTTCAGATCAAGTACTTAGGAAGATCAAGAAAGACAAGACTGCAGCTTCTATGATAACCGCATTAGACAACCTCTACATGTCTAAAGCTCTTCCTAACCGCATCTACCTGAAGCAAAAGCTCTATGGGTTCAAGATGAATGAAAACATGTCAGTTGAAGGTAATATCGACGATTTCCTTCACCTTATAGCTGATCTAGAAAACACAAATGTCATGGTATCAGATGAAGATCAGGCTATTTTGTTGCTTATGTCGCTTCCTAGGCAGTTTGATCAGCTTAGAGATACTCTGAAATATAGCACAGGGAGAACTATATTGACATTAGATGAAGTCCTTGCTGCTATATACTCTAAGGAGCTAGAGTTTGGATCCAATAAGAAGAGTATTAAGGGTCAGGCTGAAGTTTTGTATGTGAAAGACAAAAATGAGACAATGGGAAGGTCTGAGCATAAAGAGAAAGGAAATAAGAACAGATCAAGGTCCAAGTCTAAAAACAGAAAAGGTTGCTGGATTTGTGGAGAAGAAGGGCATTTTAAAAATGCTTGTCCAAACAAGAACAAATCTCAAGGCAAACAGAAGGACCAAGGAAACAGCAGCAAAGGAGAAGCTGCTATGGTGAAGGGAAGCTCATCTGATGCTGCAGGTTTATATGTATCAGAAGCCTTGCATTCAACAGATGTAAGTCTGGAGGATGAATGGATCATGGATACAAGATGCAGTTATCACATGACTCACAAAAGAGACTGGTTTGAAGAAATGAGTGAGGATGCTGGGGGATTAGTAAGGATGGGAAACAAAACTACATCAAGAGTCAGAGGCATTGGTAATGTAAGAATCAGAAATGAAGATGGAACGACTGTGCTGCTTAAGAATGTGAGATACATTCTAGAAATGGATCGTAATCTGTTATCCCTGGGAACATTAGAGCAGCAAGGATGTAGCTTTGAATCCAAGAATGGAACCCTACTGGTGAAAGAAGAAGAAAAGGTCATCATGGTGGGGAAAAGGCATGAAAAACTCTATATCCTTCAAGGAAAGCCAGATAATGGTCAGTCTCTTACCACAGAAAGAAGAAATGATGACACGATCTTATGGCACAGAAAACTAGGCCATATTAGTCAAAAGAATATGGAGATTTTGGTGAAGAAAGGCTTTCTTGACATAAAGAAAATTTCAACCATGGAGATGTGTGAAGATTGTGTGTATGGAAAAGCAAAGAGAGTCAGTTTTGTCTTAGCTACTCATGGTACAAAAGACAAGCTTGACTATGTTCATTCGGATTTATGGGGAGCACCATCAGTACCATTGTCTTTAGGGAAATGTCAGTACTTCATCACGTTCATTGATGATTTTTCCCGCAAGACATGGATTTACTTCCTAAAGCACAAAGATGAAGCCTTTGGAACCTTTGTTGAATGGAGTGTGATGGTGGAGAATCAAGCAGAGAGAAAGATCAAGATTTTAATAACTGACAATGGTCTTGAGTTCTGCAATCAATTGTTCAATGAATTTTGCAAAGAAAAGGGCATTGTAAGGCATAGAACTTGTGCTTACACGCCTCAGCAAAATGGTGTTGCAGAAAGAATGAATCGGACGATCATGGAGAAAGTAAGGAGCATGTTAAGTGATTCTGGAATGCCAAAAACGTTTTGGGCAGAAGCCTCCTACAATGTTGTGATCTTGATCAACAAAACACCATCCTCTGCAGTAAACTTTGAGATTCCTGACAAGAAGTGGACAGGTAAAGCTCCAGTTTACAGTTATTTAAAGAGATTCGGATGTATTACTTTTGTTCACTCAGATGAAGGAAAGCTAGTTCCAAGAGCAAAGAAAGGAGTGTTCTTAGGCTATGCACCAGGAGTGAAAGGTTACAAAGTGTGGCTGTTAGAAGAAAAGAAAGTTGCAGTCAGCAGAAACGTGTTATTTCAAGAAAATGCAGTCTACAAAGATGTGATGCAGGGAAACAAAAACTCAGTACAAGACATGCCTGAAGCATCAAGTGGCTCTCTGGATATTGATCTTGAAGGTACTAGTGACATAAGCTTGGGTGGAGATCTCTCGGATGAAACAGGTTCCCTGGGAGATCAGTCGCCTGCCCGAGATAGTCACCAAACAGAAGAAGATGAGATCACTGAAGAAGTGATGACTGAGTCACCTGAAAGTTATCACTTGGCCAGAGATAGAGAAAGGAGACAAGTCAGAGCTCCTAGAAGATTTGATTTGGAGGGCTATTATGGTGAAGATACAGATGATGAAGATGAGTTTGATGCAGAAGCTCTCATTACTACAGTTGATGGAGATTCTGCAGAACCTGCAAATTACCAAGAAGCTCTAATTGATGCAGATTGGGAGTTATGGAAAGGAGGAATGCATGAAGAAATGGATTCTTTATTGAAGAATCATACATGGACTGCAGTCACAAAGCCTAAGGGACAAAGAGTCATAGGCTGCAAATGGATTTTCAAGCGTAAGCAAGGAATTCCAGAAGTAGAACAGCCAAGATTCAAGGCAAGGTTAGTAGCTAAAGGCTATGCACAAAGAGAAGGAGTGGACTATACTGATGTCTTTGCACCAGTGGTAAAGCACGTGTCTATAAGGATCTTGTTAGCCATTGTTGCACAAGAAGATTATGAGCTGGAACAGCTTGACGTCAAAACTGCATTTCTTCATGGAGAATTAGACAAAAAGATCTACATGGAAGTACCTGAAGGTTTTGAAGACCAGTTTCAGCCAGATCAAGTATGCCTTCTCAACAAGTCGTTGTACGGCTTGAAACAGTCACCACGACAGTGGAATCAGAAGTTTGATAGTTTCATGACTGAGATCGGGTTTGAAAAAAGCGCCAGAGACAACTGCGTATACACTAAGACCCGTGATGATGGCTCCATGATTTATTTTCTCATCTATGTTGATGACATGCTGGTGGCTGCAAAAGATATGAGTGTGATTTCAAGTTTGAAGCAGAAACTCAGTGAGAAATTCGAGATGAAAGACCTTGGTCCAGCAAGAAAAATTCTTGGCATGGAGATTACTAGGAACAGAGAAAAAGGTATTCTTAAGTTGTCTCAAGAAGGTTATTTGGGCAAGGTTTTGGAGTTATACAGAATGGATCAGTCAAAATATGAAGTGACTCCACTTGGAGCTCATATGAAGTTAGAAGCTGCTACTGAGCAACAGTTAAAGAGAGACAAGGACTATATGAAGTCAGTTCCTTACTCCAATGATGTGGGTAGCATAATGTATGCCATGATTGGCACAAGGCCAGATTTGGCATATCCTGTTGGAGTCATTAGCAGATTCATGAGTAAACCGATCAAAGAACACTGGTTGGGAATGAAATCGGTTCTTAAGTACATCAAAGGGAGCCTCAAAACAAGGTTGTGTTATCGCAAGAGTCCAGCATTCATCGTAAGAGGATACTGTGACTCTGACTACGCTGGAGATAGAGATAGAAGAAGATCTACTAGCGGCTTTATATTCACTCTTGGTGGAAACACTATCAGTTGGAGATCATGTTTGCAGAAAGTGGTGGTTTTGTCTTCCACTGAAGCCGAGTACATGGCCTTAACAGAAGCAGTAAAGGAGGCATTATGGCTTAAAGGCTTATTGAAAGATTTTGGCTATGAGCAAAAGTCAGTAGAGATCTTCTATGACTCTTCAAGCGCCATAGCACTTTCAAAGAACAATGTGCATCATGAAAGAACAAAGCACATTGACATCAAGTACCACAAGATCAGGGACTGCATTGCAGATGGAGTGGTAGAGGTGACAAAGATATCTACAGAGACCAATCCTGCAGATATCTTCACCAAGATATTACCCGTTAGCAAGTTTTAATCGGCATTAAACTTGCTACGTGTAAAGGCTGAGTAATCAAGCTCAGGAACCGGGATGGAATCCAGAGGCTATTCAATCCAGAATATGTCTCTCTCTCAAGACAGGTAACACACTTAACATGTTTCTTGTTTGTTCTTATTTCACTAGGTGGAGTTTTGTTGAGTATTAGTGAACAAAGAACAAGACAAAAGAAAGAAACTTGAAGATCAAGTAGTGCCAGCTCAGCATAATGACTCATGGTGTTTATATAGCTGTTTTGTTTGGCTTGTAAAAGCAAAAGCAAAACGTACGTCTGTCTTCTTATGCACCTGCAATTGAAGGCAAGAAAAGCTTGACTGTGAAAAACGCCAAGGAAGAGGCTGCTTCGCAGAAGGTCACCAAGGAGTCTAGGTTAAAGAGCTAGCATCTATTTAAAGGCAGTGTATGTGTGAGGGAGAGGAGTTAAGGTGAAAAGAAGTGAGAACAAAAACAGAGAGTAAACTTGTGTTTTGTGTTCTTGGGAAACAGAGAGTGTTTGTGAGAGATTGAATCTAGAGAGCTTTGTAAGGGGCTTTAAGGGTGAGAGATCTCTTTGTAAACTCTGTGAATAGTGGATTCCGGGAGACAGATCCCGGCCCAGACGTAGCGTCGGTTTGACGTGAACTGGGTTAACAATCTCTTGTGTGCTCTGCTTGTGATTCTCTGTTTGTTGTTTCTTTGATCTATTGGTGTTGTTTGTGGTGTTGGTTGAAGTTTCATTTCAGGTTTTCAAGCTCAGTTTTCTGCAAAGGTCCTTGGTTTGTGTTCATTCAAGCTAAAGTTGGAAGCTTTAGCCTCTGTTTGCTTCACATTGATATTTTAGCAAACATACATCAACTAAGTTAGAAGAAAGTGACTAATTGTGAAATCAAAGACACCAAGCAAGAGAAAAGTTTTTATGTAACATATCTACTTAAGAAGATGATGAGGAACGTGACTAATTTTGGGACTTAACATTTCCTTGTACTATATTAGTTTCATTGTTGTATTGTATAAATGTATGATTTACAAAGATATGTGAGTTAAAACTATATATATTTACAAGGTAATGAGAAATTGTAATGAATGATTACTGTCGGTGCTACATTCCATCGCATTTTGAAATCTCCATCAGGATGAAATGTCAAAGCAACACACCACCATGCATCAATGAGTTGTTATTAGTTGGATGGATTATTCCTAAGTACTTTTTTTTTTTTTAATAGTCCTAATCAAGAATTTTTTTTTTTTTTTTGGCAAAGTCCTAATCATTTTAACAAATAAAAAAACCTAAGAAAGTGGCCACTTAATTGGAAACAAAATTCAATCTCTCAATGGAGTAATGTCTTCACATGTATGAGTAAATTCTCTACCTAGATGGAGTTATCTCTTTGTAGACCGCACTTGAAATCAATTCGTCAAATTCCAACCAACTCATCCAATTTTTAAATATTGAATACATGTACTATGTTTAGTTGTTTCACACCCACTGCTTTTTATTTCCACTCTATAATTATTATCACTTTACCATTTACTCCAAACCACATCATATTTCTTCCTAATAGCTAGTTTAAACTTTACCATATAGGAAAATTATTTGCTCAAGTCATGCAAAACAATACTTGACTCGCTTAAACATAATTAACGATGTGTTCAAAGTCTTAACTCTGAGCAAAAAGACGACAAATACACAATAAAATAAATGCAATAGTATTCAGGGGATACATTACGAATTTAATGAGCCTCAACTCTAGCTAAGAAGCCAATATAAAACCTTAGGGAAAATAGCAAAAGTTGAGCCGGACTATATGTTAGCGGTATTTTTATACCCAAACTACGATATCCGGCAACCTAAACTCACAAAAAAAAAAATTCAAATTTCCAACATAAATTATATGAAATCAACCAAAATTAATAAACATATATCGAAACGGTGTAAGTTAGCCATTTAGCCAAAATCAACATACACCGTGGTAATGACGGAACATTAGAGTTGAGTAATATGGCGTCGTTTCTAGGGTTCTCGAATCAATGAATTGCTAAAGCATACACTTATCGAATCTTCAATTAGAGAACCATACACTCACAAAACGATGTCGTTGTACTTAACTTCAATGTCCCGTCATTGCCACGGTGTCAGCTGACTCATGGACGTTAAGTGTATAACTAACATTGTTTTGGTATATCATATAATTTAGGTTAGATATTTGAGTTTAGGTTGCAATTTTCCGAGTATTATAATTTGGGTATAAAAAACTGCCAACAAATAGTTTTAGTTGATTTTCGCTATTTTCCCTCAAACCTTATGTTTTTTTTATGGTTTGTGAAACTAAAAGGCAAGAATTATAAGAAGAACTATAAACACTTTGTTAATTGTTACTTTAGTTACAAAGAAACGTAACTTTACAACGTGTTATATAAAGAAACGTGTGTTTCAATATCCCCAAACAGTTAGTTACAACGGCATGTCAACGGGACTCACATAGTATAAACGGTCTGATCGAAAACACATGTTCCTCGTGCATGTTTTTCTCCTATAAATACTTGTAGATCACTTAACCTAACAAATCATTCAAACTTCAAACCTAAAATATACTAAGAAAGATTCTGATTCAATCTCTGGTAACTTTCTCTATCTCTTATACTCTATATTTCTTTCAAGTATTCTTCATAGATTTTGGTAATATTCATTTCATATTTCTGATAATAAATCAATATTTGGAACCAAAATATTTGTTTTATAATTACATTTTTATTATTTTACGCTCTTTCTAATCTCTATTTTTATCATAATTTTGTTTTTTCTTCATGATCTTTTTACAAATATATAAGTGTATTTTTGTCTCTGTACTTAATCATCAATAAATATGTAAGTAACTAATATAAAAAATGTTTTTTTTCTGAGAATGGATTTCTAATTTGGAAAGCTTGGTGTATATAAAACACTTTTCTTGATTTTCTTTCCCTTTCAGTAATATCACTGATGGCATTATCCGAAGATTTGATGTCGAAATGCTCAGAGCACATGAGTGCTTACAAATCCGCTTGTGAAGAACACCCTGGCCTCAAATCCTTTGATTCTAAGCTTCAGCAGCGAGCCATGAAAGTGATAGACACGCTCACCGCTGGGGCCGAGACTGGGACTGGGACTGAGGAGCTATCACAACACACAGTACACGTGGAGGTCTCCAAGCATCTACTTGAAGTTCACCAAGAAGTGGCAAACTTCATTCTTGAAAGCGAAGACGATGTGTGGGAGAACAAATCTCTAAGATATTTGGTCAAGGCCTATTTTGAAAATACCATCAAGACATTAGAGATTTTCGATAATATTATGGAGAGTGTGGAGAAAGCAGAAAGGGGTCAACTTATCATCCAAGAAGCCGTGGCGCAGTTTGATAAAGACTCGTCAGAAAAAGACTTTGGTGGGAAAAAGAAGAGGTATGAAAAAACCTTGAAGGAGCTGAAGAAGTTCAAAGCCATGGGAAATCCTTTTGATGGCCGCGACTTCTCGGCTCAGTTCAAGTTGATCCAAAAGCAGCAGGAATCTCTTCTCGCGGAAGTGGCTGAGGCTAAAAAAAAGCTTGAGGAGGAAGCAAAGAAGCTTCAAGAGGAATATGCTAATGCACAAAAAGGGAGTTTAATCTCCAATGTTGTTTTCGGCGCGGTTGCTTGCTTAGTTTTCGTTGGCTCGGTAGCTCTAGTTATGACAGGCGTGGGAGCACCTCTAGGCGTTGCCGGGTTTGTGGCAGTACCAGCGATTGCAATGGGATGGGTAGGCGTCCAGTTTTACTTGGCGAAACGGATGGAAGCTCTGAAGAGACAGCAGGAAGCTTTTACAAAACTCCAAGAGAAATTAACATTGTTGGAGATTGGTACTGAAACCAACGAAGATTCTTTGGGGACCGTAACTGAAATAGCCCACCAGCTAGAGAAAAAGATCACATCTATTATGAAAGATGTGGATGATGCTATTGAAAATGAAGGAGATGAGGTGGACATCAAACTTGACCTCTACTCAATCAGGGAGAAAGTAGAGAAAGTAACAGAGAAAATTAATGAGGTTGGTGAAACTGTGGCTAAGCATAGCAAACTGATCGCTGAGGCGAGGTATCATATCCTCGAAAAGATCAATGGTTCTGGAAAATATCACCACGGCTAAACGTTATCGATGTTTGTTGTTGTTCAAGAGTACTCAATTCCCATATTTGCTATTTTCCAATAAATGGGTTTACAGCCCATACTGTACCTTTCTATTTTGCTTTGTAACATTGACCATCCGAGAGATTGGTTGATATGTACCTCTATCTCCCTATGTATTAGGGATTATTCGCGAAATAAATTTGTTGTATTGTTCTTTACATTCATCTTCACAAGTTAAAGCAGCAACAAAGACATTTGGCCGGATATATTCTAGTAAAAATAATCCTTATAGCCACTTGAATTTTCGCGGTTAGGCCTTAATATTTGTGGTTATAGCGTCGTAGCTTAAATAATTTGTAACGTTGACCATCCGAGAGGATTGGTTAATATGTATTTATCTATCCCATTTGTATTTTTATGATTTGTGAAATAAAGTTTGATGAAAAACTTGTTGTTTATTTTTCGCATTCATCTTTTCACAAAATAAATGAACCAACAAATTTTGCTTTCCAGATAAAAAAATTTTAATTTTCCTTTCGGCCTCATCTTTTAATTAAATGAACAAAACTAACCAAACCAAGAGTAAAATAATTCCTTGTTTTAAAATAAATTAGATTAAGACCACTATAGTTATGTTTATGAAAACAAATTATTTTATATAGTATTTCTACCTCACTGTTATGTCCAACGTTTTTTCCTTACAAATTAGAACCGATTAACGAAAGTCATCGAAAAATTATATAAAAAAAAAGGAAGTTGCTAATTTTTCGAGAACTTGTGATGGAAAAATTTTAAGAAAGTTTTCAATTCTCAACTTGGTTACGTTAATAAAGATTTTTGGTTACGTTATCGATTTCGTGGAAGAAGCAAGAAAGGCCAAGGTTACATTCAAGAGGCCGTGGCAGAGTTTTGACAAAGAGTCGACAGAAAAGGATCTTGATGGTATGAAAAGGATACCTCAAATTTTTTATATTTGTTTGGCTACCACATTCTCTACCTCCATCGAACTTAGACTATGCTAGCCCTGACCATAAAAACTAATAACGATGAATCCGGCCTGCTAGACCAAATAGCGCCGAAAAGACAAGCTCATATATATGGTTCCTTTTTTTACTCTACACCAAAAACTGTGGCCAGCATGTGAATAAACAAATCGGTGCATCTTATGCCAAGCCAAGCAGGGGTCATATTCAACATCTTCAATTTCAATTCCCATTCAAACAATATCCTAGAGGTGACCAAACCATTAAGAGTACTTGTATTATGCCTTCGAGTATAAATCTGATATACTCTTAATGGTTTAATCAGCTTTAGGATATTGTATTTTGGTGATTAAGGTGACAAAACAATATCCTAGGCAAGCCACTTAAACATGAAAAACATATCAAATTTATACTTGAAGGCATATATAATACAAGTCAGTGGTTGATCTGATCAAGTGGAAGGTCTTTTCTCCAATGTTTATAACGATTTTCACTATAATAACTTAGGTCATCAATTTCCCAAGTAATGTAAATCTATTATAGATGAACTATAGTGAGTATAAATTGTATATATCTTCTACGATCATCAAGCAATCAAATCTGCAAAATGCCGTAACAAAAACAGTCAAAAACTCAAAAGAAAACTAAGTATCAACCTACAACTTCTTCCTCTTGCATAAGGAACTAAACAGTAAGGAGCAAAAAAGAAGAAACACATAAAGATCTTACAAATATTACATCTAAACTCTCCTCACCGTGCTCGGGAACGGATGCATCCATTGTGGGAGAACGAACGAGGCAAAGTTTGATTCCAAAATGTAATTCACATCTTTCGGGCAATCACGGCAATTCAGAATGCGGCCATCGCTGCTACGTTTCATCGCATCGTGGGCTTCAACTTCTCCCTCGTGCAAGTTAATAGATAACAAATATTGCCGATGCCAAAAGTATACTGTTTTAGGATCAAAAGGGTTTATTCCCAACGGAATATAATCGAAACCGTCCCTAATAGAATCCAAAGAGATTTCAGATACTACCAATCGCCACTCCCAGCTCTCTAGCCTCCATATACATAACTTATCCTCTAGATTTCCATCTTCTTTCTTTACAGAGAATATGTTCATATACATGAGATACCCTTGAGAAGTTGTGCAAGATCTTCTGAACTTGGGAACTCTATCTAGATCAGGAAAAGGCGTAGCACGACATCGATCAGAGACCGTATCATTAGCGTAGAAATCGACTGATACAACGAAATCTTGATAGTCAGGACTATGTGCAAGCCAATGAAGACTCCCATTCAAGCTAATGGGATTGTTAAACTCTTGAGATATAAAAGTGAAAGGAAAATTTGCACTGTCGAGACTCCACAAGCCTGTCTCAGATGAATATATAAGAAAAGTAAAGTTAGGTTTTAACAAAACAACTTTGTAACCTAAAACGACGCCGCTCTCAACTCTTGTGGCAATTCCCAAAATCCAGAAACGTTCATATCTTTCTGAAGGTAGAGGAAGGATCTCTACACATTGTCTTGAAACAGGATTAGCTACAAAGAAAGATTGATTCGACACACGATGTATTAAAACCAAACCAACTTCCGTGTAAGACACGACTCTAGCTTCATTGTAGTTCTCGAACTTGTCGGTAAGGAATGAAGAGATGTAAGAACCAAGAGAACGTTTCAGATTCCAGTTGTCTGATCCGTAATGAGACATGACCTCTGTCTCACAACCTCTACACATGAGAGACCATGAAGAAGGATGTGAGTTTTGGTGAAGAGATTTGAAACGGTCGCGGAAAGAACGAGACTCGACGATTGATTTCCATTGCTTGCAAACGAGTTTGGGAGTGGTGATGATGCTCTTTAATGGTAATCTCGCTAGTATAATCTCCCATAGATCCTCTGTGAACAGATCTGTCTCTCTCTTTATCTGTGTCTCCATCAATGAGATTAGGATTTTTTTTTTTGTGTCTGCGTTAGGGTTTCGCTCGATTTGTGTGTAATGGGAATGAAGAAAAAGTCAATAAATACAGAGATGTTACCATATTTTTCGTTCAGAGATAGAAGATAATCTCTAATAAAAACTTTTTTGAGTAATCAAATAAATCATTCCTATCCAAAAAAAAGTAACCAAATATAATTAATCATTGAATTTTTTTTTTTTTGTAATACAGTCCTCCAAATTATCATTTTCTACAGTTTTAGTTTTAATCTCTTGCAAACATATTAATCATACCAAAACCTTTAATAATGTTTGACACCGCAACCGTCCGTTTCCGTAAATTCCGACGGTTGTGTTTAAACTAGTCAGACTTTCAAGAGTGTACCAAACACATTTGATGTAACTAAATATTTATGAGTAATATTCAAAAGTCCAGTTTTAAGAATCAATATGGGTCTCTCATGCCTCTACTCTCATCTCTTTTTTAGATCCGCAACCACCGGAAAATCATACTTTTAAATCTTAGTTTTTTATGAATTTTTCAATATTGGACTCAAACCCAAACCCTATCTAATGCCTAATGGAGCTTTCCAATAGAGCTTGACAATTTCACAAGGATTTCTCATGTATATGAACATATATTAGAAACTGTATCCGTTTCCAGAAATCCGGTTATCCGTATCTAAATACCGGATATTCAAGTTTAAGAAAATGGATATTCGTTATATATCCGTTATCCGTACCTGTATCCGTTTTCTGGATATCCGGTTTTGCGGATAAAAACAGACACGGATATGGTTTTTTAATCTTAACACTAGTGTCAAGATCCAACAGATAAAAAATAAGAATCAAATCTTTTTTTTTCATGCCATGGCAGCAACAGCTGCCCCAACTCAAATTATATAGAGGCAAACAAGTCTTATTGGCCTTTTATGTATTTTAAAAAGATTTTTTTAGTCTTTTATGTAGTTTTTTAATAGCTATTTTGTTCTATTAATTTTATTATTTTTTGGCAAAATAAATATATTTTCTAATATTAAAGTTGTTTTCATCTTAAAATACAAAACTAATTTAGACATGTTTCTATCAAAAAATTTGGATTACAAAAACAAATTGGACTTTTTTTTTCTAACACTAAAAATTGGATTATTTATCTTAATATTAATATTTTGAATCATTTATGTGTACATAAGTTTTTATAATTCTTTTTTTTGGACCCTATAATATACTGAACCCTATTTATGTATATATATTCTTAAATCACATAGGCCTCTCGTCTACTGCTGTTTTACCCACTTCTTTTGGGCCGGGCCTGTGTAATAGATCCTTGATTGATACGCTCTCTTTCACCATTGTGTGTTCGCAAACTTTCTATTTCTCAATTTTTATTTTGATCCGTTAAATTTTCAATTTTTTTTGGTCCGTTAGATTATTTTTCCTTAACGGTTAGAAAATTCAACTTAATTAAAGTGTAAACTATGGAGTAAATTTATTATTTATTTTGAATTTCTCCTCTCTCTCTCTCTCAACGTCCTTCTTCGTTCATCGTCTCTGTTTTCTGGAGTTTGATCATCTCTGTCAAAGTACTCTTAAGGTAAATCTCTACTCATCCTTTTCGATTCCTGTTCGATTTTTGAAGATAATCTCACGAGTTTCCTCTTCTTCTCTTTAAATTTCAATGAGTTTTTTTTTTGTTTAATTTATGCATTAAAATCAGACCAGATGATCGATTTTTTGAAATTGAATTGATCGATTTTGAATTTGCGATGATCATATAGAGAAACGCTTTCTAATTAGGGTTTAACTTTGAAATTGTTGTTGGGTTACGCGTTAGAACCCTTGCGAATCGTGGATAAACTTAGAGGAACGCTTTCTAATTAGAGTTTTTGTTCAATTTATGTATTAAAATCAGAGCAGATGATCGATTTTTGAAGTTGTGATGATTACTTAGAGGAACGCTTTCTAATTAGGGTTTTAACTTTGAATATGATTTATAAATTTTTATGGGTTATGCGTTAGAACCTTGCGAATCGTGGATAGATAAAACTTAGGAGCAACGCTTTATAATTTAGTGTTTAATTAACTTGGTTCGATTGAAATCAATTATGTTATTGGGAAGATTGGTCAAAATCGGTTTTAAGTTGCAGGAACAATGATCGTGTTTGCTATTTTGCAGAGAGCAACATCGATTCTGTTAATGTGATGTGATGTCTAATTGAGGTTCTCTTTCTTCTATATAAAATTTCTGTGAATTGAACTATTCTCGTATGCTCTCTGACATATATGAATTTACAATTACAGATTCTACATGATTGTTAGACATGTTACAGGAGTGCTGATTTCTATATCTTCTGAAGGTATCTGATTTTTATATTCATCTCGTAAGCTAAAGTGACATGATTTTGGGAAACGTTTAGGTTGCTACTGATCATCACTATATTTGATGGAAAATTCTCTATGTGTAATCATGTAAACTATGCCTATTCAGTTAGATTCTTAGATTTTGCATCAATGTGAATTTATAATCTTTATTTTCAAGCTTACCAGCTCTAACAGATATGGAAATCAGTTATAGTCTTCATGTGTGTTCTTTTTTATTTGTAAATACTGGTTTGGCTTTTGGCCAGTGCACTCTTTTGCTTGGGTTCGAATTCAATGATCACTCTATTTAACATGTTTTCAGATATTACACTTAATACACGGTATGTTTTCACATATAACATGTTTTGTTTGAACAACGGAGAATTTTCTTTCATGTAGATTCAGGAGAGAGCTGCGGTTTTCAAATTTAACTGCAATGACTTTGAGAAAGTGGCCAAAACTCCACTCGGACTAGATGATGATGATGATGATGTATGAAGGATTCCCTGTCGTAGTTCTGTTTCCATTGAGCTTTTTATATTTCCAAGAGAAAGCTCTGATCTTTGACATAATGAGTGATTCTTTGTAGTGTTATCTGCGCATAGCGATCCAAAGTATGTGATAAAAGGATTCAAGAACCAATTCGCCTGCGATTATCTGCTTACACCAATTCGAATTGAGGAGTTCAAGAACATATCTCTCTAATTTGGCTACTTAAGGCCAGAACAGTGTAGCAGCTTGAGTTAAGTGTTACTATTTATCTCTGTTACATTTTTTCTCTACCCTGGGAAACTAATAGGTACAATGGTCCTCACTTTTGCAACACTGATCTTGCAGGGATTTATATCAACCCGAACTGTGTTTATCTTACTCTCTGATCTTCTTTGCAAGAGTTCATTTCTCCATGGTTGTGCACCAGGTTTATCTTATACGTTGTTCTTTTACCTTTTCAATTACTTATTTTTGTTCAGTTATTATCCTCATGCTGATCTCGTATCTATGAAATCTATCATGTATACAAATTGATTCTCTGCAGATATATGAACTTAAATTGCAGGTATTTTAATTTGCAGCAGAGGCCACAGGTTCTCTCGGATTAGTACTCTCTGTAAGATTTTCAATGAGTTCTTTTTCTGACTAGTTTGAGGTGTTGCAGCAGCGGTCTTAATTGAGTCTCATTTTCTCTTCTCAGAACTATTGCTGGGTGAAATCAAGAGAAGTGATCTTTGAACTGCAAACGACTCTGTAGTCAGAATACAAAGAAGGGCTCAAGTAAAGTACTTTCTCTCATTTCTCAAATCTCTAACTTCATACATAATTAGTCCCACGGAAACTACAAGTACACTAAAACACCACGAAACTAAATACAATACAAACTTCAAACAATACACTTCACGTAGAGAACATTATTCAAATAGGCAAAAGAAAACAAACACATGTATACCAACCAACCAAACAAAAAACACCAAAATCCAACAGTCATAACAAAAACTTTACATACCTCAAAACACATATAAACTTCACGTGCAGAGAATATAATTCAAATGGGAAAAACAAAACCACGCAAACACAACACTCAAAACAAAACCTTCACGATCATAAAAACAAAATTCAAATAAGAAAAATAAAGATACATAAACACAACACTCAAAACATAAACTCTACGATCAGAGAACAAAACTTGTAGAATTGTGGTGTAAAGGTTTTTATTTTCCCATCCGAAGCATTAAACTAAGCTATGTGTTTTGAATTGTGGTGTTTGGAAACAAAGCATTGTAGATGACTGGCTATAGGGAAGCATACAGCAAAAGGAATATATGAGTGTCAGGTATTATCTTGACCAAATTCGACGTTCTATTTTCTCATGTTTAGTGTCAAGCTTAAATGTTATAGTCTTATAGTGATCCTTGAAGAATTCTTTAGTGAAATACGTCTTATTGATTTCAAATTGATTCATCAGCAACTACGGAACCTTTTTCTCTTGACTTGAATGTTCTATTAAAGATTGAGAGGAAGCTAACTTATGATGAATCTGCTTTTGATTCACTTTCTGAAAGTGAAATCATCTTGACATATGTGCAGGACATTAGGTTTTGCTATTGGCGCCGAGGAGAGACTTAGCTGCTTGAACGAATATCTCTTTAAAGTGGCTGCAGCAGCGTTTGTCTGCAGTGTTATTCCTTGAGCTTACCATGTTGCACTCTTTTGTTTACTCCCAACCTTTATTATTCATTAATGTTTTGAAGGGTGGTGTCAGAAGACTTTACTTGTTGGAGATTTTCAATAGAGATGGAATGGGGATTATGGTAGCAAGGTATATATACTTGAGATGTTTTTTTCTGGTGGCAACAAGTACTGCAGACTGATTTTGTGAGACACTGGTTTCAAGAGGCTCCAATCAAGCTAATACCCGAGGCAAGACGGGAAATAGCAGGATTTCAGTTGTTCGGACATTTCAATACCTTTGCAAATGCGATGGGGAAACCGGCAGCAAAAGGTATGTACGAATGCCGGGTATTATTTTGATCACATCAGGTCAGATACCAAAATATTTTTCAAAACGTCATAGTAACATTGTTCAAAACGTCATGTTTGAAGTTTACTTTTAATGTTTATATTTTGGATTGTTATCTTGGCAGGAATCAAATGATGACATAAACTTATTGAGACAAGGTGTGCACAAAAACAGAATAATGCAACAGGTTGATTTTAACAAAACCAGATTCTTAACTACTATCTACCATATCATTATATCTACTCTTACATTTTTTCTGTACACTGTTAGATAATTAGGTGTGTACAATAGTCGTCACTTCAATACATTTACGATCATCACTGATGTATCTCATTAAGCACCAGAAAAAGGTTATCTATCTTTTAAATTTCAACTTTGTTTTGCTGAATAAACTCTTCATGTTCTGGCTCTATCATATTCTTACTATTGACTATCTCTATGATTTGGCAGAGGTCTAGGCAAAATGGCTTTGCAAGCAATGGTTGGACTTCTTAAAACGATATCTTTTGAAGGTACTACTTGTTTGTTAGATTGAAATCAGACTTAAATATGCATAATATTGAACCAATTATGTTATTGGGAAGCTTGGTTTTTGTATCTGGAAAAAGCATTTGATTCAAATTTAACTGCAATGAGTTTTTGAGAAAGTGGCCAAAACTCCACTCGGACTAGAAGATATAAGATTTTAATAATTTTAATTCTCTGCATAGTTTGTGGTTTTGTAGTTCTAACTAAGTTCATTCTCCGCAGAATTCTTGTAGTTGATATCAAGAGATTAAACGAAGATGGGCTTCAAATGGAGAAGTGACATAACTCTCTCTCTCTCTCTAATCAGCAAGCTCAGCAAAAAGAGGCAAAGTAAGATTTTCTAGAATCTATTACTCATACTCAGGCTTACTTCACTTGCTTAATTCATTTCATTATAAGTGATTTGTCAAGTGATATTTTGTGTGCAGCGATATTGATTCTCTGCAGATAATTGAACTTAATTTGCTTAGATGATACAGGGTATTTTGCAGCTGCGGCCAAAGCTTTTCTCGGATTAGTACTCTCCCGTAAGATTTTCAATGAGTTATTTTTCTGATTAGTTTGAGGTTTTTTATGTTCTTAATCGAGTCTCATTTTCTCTTCTCAGAACTATTGCTAGGTGAAATCAAGAGGAGGGCTCAAGTGAAGTACTTTCTCTCATTTCTCAAATCTTTAACTTCATACATAATACAATACAAACCTCAAACACAAAAACCTCACGTCCAGAGAACACTAAAACACCACGAAAATACAATACAAACCTCACGTGCAGAGAACAGAACTCAAATATGCAAAACAAAAAAACACAAACATAACACTCAAAACAAAACAAAACCTTCACGATCAAAAAATAAAATTCGTAGAACTGTGGTGTCAAGGTTCATATTTCCTCTTTCCAAAGCAAGCATTAGCGCAAAACAAGCTAAAGGAAAATACGAGTGTCAGGTAGTACATTGGTCTTATTGATTCATCTGCAACTACGTCGCTTTATCTATTAAAGATTGAGAGGAAGCTAAGTTATGATCTTTAAATTTTACATTTTTTGTCGAAAGTGAAATTAGTTTTTGCTATTGATGGTGAGGGGAGACTTAGCCATTATATAGGATATCTCTCTGAACTGGCTGCAGCTGGGTTCGTCTGTAGGGTAAGTCCTTGAGCTTAACATGTTACTCTGTTTTATTTACTCCCAAACTTTCTTATTCGTTAATTTTTGGAAGTTGGTGTCAGAAGAGTTCACTTGTTGGATGGCACTTTAAGCGTAGTGATATTGATGAAGATTTTCAATATAGATGGAATGGGGATTATGGTGGCAAAGCTGTTTTTAATTGCGAAAATTCGAGGTTTTATCTTTCTTATATAAGCTATTGATCCGTCATGTCACAGTTAAATATTTGAAGGAACCTGAGAGGCCAAAGAGGAAGATCTTTCTGGAATTAGAAAAGTAATAAAACGTTTGGATGAATTTGGAGCGTTACTTCTGAAACTTGTGAGAAGCTTAGCCTGAGGTTCCACTTTTCATTGTTTACATGTTTGGCTAATATGAGCTTAACGGTGATTAATTTGTGGTTGCTAATCATTTTTTCGTTATTCTCAAGCTTAACTGCTCTAAGAGATTTGGAAATCAGTTCTAGTCTTCATGTGTCATCTGCAGTATTTTCATTTGTAGGCACTGGTTTGGCTTTTGGCCATTGAATTCTTTTGCTTGGGTTCGGATTCGATGATAAAGTGGCTTAGATCAGTTGAACATGTTTTCACATATTAAGCGGTATGTACTTCATCACACCTTACTCAATTACTCTTAAATGCAACAATCTTTGTTTTTTTCTTGATCAACTGAGAGTTTTCTTTCATGTAGATTCAAGATTGACCGGGTATAGGATAGCCTTGTAACGCCCCAACCGTCACCTCCTCAGTGGACTCCAAGTTCACTCTCAATCCATGGGCCAACCTTTTTTAATGGGCCTCATATCCTCTTACTACGCCCGTGAGCCCACCAATGCCCCACGACCGATTTGCTATGTTCGGGAGTCTTAATTAAACTTGTTTATTGAACTTACAAATCACCACATGATATTTCCATGTGTTTTGGCCTCACTCATACAGTTCCGACAACCCCTTCCCGATAAACAAGTTTATAACTTATTCGCAACTCAATGACTCATGAGGCAAAAGATGACGTTCGGTTTGCAGACCTTGGTCATAATTTCATAATTATTTGGTAATTCAATATAGATCAATATCTTGAACAAAATCTCTGTTTTATGTACATAAAAAAAAATAGAATTCATGTAACGAGTAGACAAAATTTATCATACCAAAAAAAAAAAAAAATGAATAAATCAAAGAATCTCTAACTCTTGATTATATTGAAGATACTGTCTCTGTGACTTGTGAAGATCATAAGGAGCCCAAAGATAATCAATTGGACAAGGCTTACCACCATCAAGCCTAACCCATGGCTTCCCTTTCCCACTCCAATGTATCAAACTAACCGGACCAGGATGCAACGATCTACAACTACTCACAACGTTGTCTCCACCTAGACCATGTTGGTTCCACTGATGATCAATAGCTTCAATCTCACCACCAAACACTAGTAGAAAAGGCGGTAACGAACCCAATTCGTATATTCTCTTATCTTCTTTCTGAATCTTCATCCAAGATTCGATCTTTCTCGTGTATTCTTCTTCTCTCCATCTATCTAAATCGATAACCATCACTCCCGTGTTGAAATAACAAGGCGATTTCGAATCGAACACGCTCGAAAGTTTTCTATCAGACCAGAACTGATCTGTGAAGTACTTTGTGAAGTTTGCGTGGCAATACTCTGGTGCACCTATTGTTCTTGACCCGGATAAAGAAATCTTCCAGAGCTTCTGAATATCGTCGACTACAATCACATCTGAATCGAGATAGATCACTCGGCTAACGCAAGACGAAAGGATCTCTGATAAGTAGCTTCTTGCGTAATTCAAAGGACTATCAAGAGCTTGACGTATAGAAGAAGAGATCAGGTTCTTGACCATGGTTTCATCAAAGGTGTAGACTTTGAAACTCAATGAAGGGAAAACAGATGAGAGAGTCTTAGCAAGCGAACCGTGGCTCGAACCCGAAGCAATGAAGTGGAAGAAGATGTTTTCAGGACAAGAAGTGTGTTTGAGAATAGAATGAACAGCAGATACCGTGCCACGCAAGTAAGCTGGATCTAGGGTCATAGCTATATGAACAGCTGATGGATCACAAGCTAACAAGAGTCTGTTTTTGGCTAAAACAGAGCATTCAAGACCGTTTTGATAAGCTGGAGCTTCCATGAAATCTGAAGATGCATCGTCGAATGAATCTGGAAGTAATCGAATCGATTCAACGGTGAAGAAAGCCGTGGAGATTATAATCAAGATTATTGATAGACTAGAGACTAATCTTGAACTAGACATCATCATAGAGAGATGAATGAGTAAGATCTCTCAAAAGCAGAGCTCTTTTTTTAAGGTTTGGTTTAGAAAAAAAGTTTCTGGAATGTATTTGAAGAAAGAAGAGAAAGGAGAAAGGTCGAGGAAGAAGACGAAGACGAAGACGAAGACAAGAACTGAAACGCGGTTTTGTAAAAGAAGGTGGTCAAAATAAAGCCTCTTAATAAAACTCGTTTTCTTTAATGTCACCATCATTGTTTTTTTTTTTGTTCTTTAAGATATTTTTTTATTTCTAGAAACCCCTAAAAATTTACTATTTTTATTCTATTACAGTCAATTCAACAATAAATTTTGAGTTTATATAGTATGATTTACAACATTTAATTTCATACACGGGAAAAGAAAATGTATTTGTGAATACTATTTTGTTCATTGTATATGGTAGCAAAGACTAAGGATACACTTTTGACCAGTTACATTTTATTTGCATGTTAAATAAATATATTTTTACAATTAAGAGATTTTTAGCTTAGGTACATTTTCTCATATCCATATCCGTGATTAGAACAGGTTATACGATTTCGCCTTTAAACATTTGTTTGATGATTTTACGAACTGATCAATACTTTTCTTATAACATATATATGTACATGTTATAATTTTATAAATTTGTGTTGGAAATTGTGGAGTTGCGTATATTCAAACATTAAGAAAATTACATGTTAAGCCGAGACAAAAGATACTAAATAAACGATATATACGTTTAACCTATTTCTTTGTTTACAGAAAGAAATGTTAGGTTTAACGAACACATCATAGTCAATATTGACATAAAAGTCTTATTAAATATTAAGTATGAAAGGTTAACTAATCTAATTAATAAATTAAATGACTAAAATGTAGACATTTACACGCATAGGCACATTAATGTTATACAAAATATAAGAAAAGCATGTTAGGTTGTGGGAATATGGGGTTTGATAATGGCTCCAATGAACACATGGCTCCATGTGCTTTTATACTTATTTCGATATACAAAAAAAAAAAACTATATATTATAACCTTTCTTAAATAATAATATGTAACTATTGACTAAAACCCAAAAAGGCAATAATTTATTTTAAATGGTCAGCTCATATTCATTGGATACAATGCACTTTTCATGTAAAATATTATAAATTCATGTAAAATATTATAAAAAATGTGTTTGTGTTTCTACTACAAAGCATGTGAGTGTTCCTCGTTTAGATGGATTTTATTTGCAGGTTTTTTTTTCACCCATTTCTATGACTAGAATTTGTTGTTTCCATAAGTAGAGTTTATTAAGTTCTTTTGTACTAACAATAGTATACTAATTGTAGTAACATGCCAAACAAATCTAACTTTTACAATTCTTTTCTTACAAGACCTATTATTTTATGTATAATAGAGTTGTAGTATTCAGTTTTTGAAAGTTAATACATTAATATCTCTAGATAAACAGATTTGCTGAAGTACTACTATTTATAGCCTTATGAGTTAGACATAAACAAAATCGGAAAATGTCTAAAAAGTTTATACGTTTAAAGTTTCAAATTTTAAAGTTTCAGTTAAATCGTTAAGTTTTCGTTGACTTCAATTTTTTTTTAACGATTTATATAAAAGAAATAATCTATGTGAAAATATATTAAATTTCAAATTTCAAATGGAAAATAGAAGAGATATTAGAAGAGTTGTTGCTCCACTATCTTCGTACACAAAAATCTATGCAATTATTTTGTGTTTACAGAAAAGCAGCCATTACCATTTCACTTGTTTCTATTATTGGTTTCATGTTTAATCATGCAAAACTGCTTCCTCTTAGAAAATTGATTTTATTTTTTGCGTTCTAAAAAGTTTACATTATCTAGCAATTGTAATGTTTTGAATACAGCTGTATGTGCGGCTATGGGCTGGCAAAATCATTATTCTTCTTTGTAATGAGTATATATATCTCACTTTGGAATTATGCTTACCTAATTACAAAAGTTCCTAACATATACCAAATCATCCACCAATTAAAAAACTTGAGAAAATTACCTGACTTACTTATTTTAATTCTTTAAAATCCCTTCTTTTTTTTATTAAAAGAGAAATACATTATAAAAGAAATATCACTGATGGTATGTAATTACATTCAAATGCCATTACCTCCCGCCTTTGATCTATTCGGATCTTAAACTTCAGCTTTGTAATCAAGCACATCAGGATTTCCCCAAATCTTTTGCCACAATTTGAACTCTTTATGTTTCTGAGATGCAACCTCGTTTTCTCTATATATCTTCTCCCTCTATCACCACTTGCACAACATTTGTGTACTTTTTTTTTCCTAAGATTTCAATCACATTACGTATTTTCTTAACATCAAGTGTATAAGGAGTGAGTTTTGGCATCACGTATGTACAAAACTCATGAAGAAGCTTTGTAAAGTTTTTTTCTTATTTCTCTAAGTATATGTTTTTACCTCCATAAGCAACAATAACCCTTATTGCGGAGAGAATACCATCACACGCAAGTGTTTATTCACCTTTTTCAATCCAATATGACCCACTTTGTATGAAAATGGTCTCATTTCCCTCAAATTATGGGCCATTTTCATACTTGGATATTCAACATATTTGCTTAACATACGTGGATAGACGCAATTTAATGTGTTGTTGGATACAGCAAATGTCGCTCCAAAAAGAGGTACATCACTGAATGACCCACGTATGAGTATCCATTCTTCTGATACTTGCTGCTAAGACATTGTAGGTCTCTCTTCTCCATGGCAAATCTGTATACATCTCAAAGTTTGATGCATACTGAAGTCTTGACACTGGGATATTCTCTGAGGAATTAGGCGTCATTAGAAATCCTTCGGTAAGAATGACAGCTGCAAGACAAAGCTTCTCATCCTGAACTCAATTGTAAGGAATCTTTTTTGGAGTTGCTTTCAATAGTATCAAAGCTGATGATTTTTTTTTCTTTATTGTGTTATCGTGATTTCGAAAATACAATCATACTCATACTATCAAATATTATTATAATTGGAAAAATTCGGATCAATTTGTTGAAAAGAAAAGAAGATTATCAATTATAAAATTTAATAATTTCTTGGAAGGGAACTATACTTACTCAAATACAAATTTTGAATAATATCAGATCGACAATCGTGTTCGGCAGCCCAAAACAAAAGTTAAATTTTCCTTCCTTG